TGAAATAAAAGATTAAATAAATAATTCTCTCTACTATTATTCTGACATTTCACATTCTTAAAATAAAGTGGTGATCCTAACTGACCTAAGACAGGGAATTTTTACTAGGATTAAATGTCAGGAATTGTGAAAAACTGAGTTTAAATGTATTTGGCTAAGGTGTATGTAAACTTCCGACTTCAACGGTATTGGGTGATTACATCAGAACCAAAGCAAAGTAGCAGTTACTGAAATGATCACATTCGAGGATAAAGTTGTTAACAGAAAAAGCATGGAAAATATACAAGACATGAAATAAATAATTTTATTCACACCAACTGACATAACTTGAAGGAGCTGGAGCAGTTTTGCCTTGAAGAATGGGCAAAAATAGCTATGCACGCTCAAGTTTTCTGTTTTTTTGTCTTATTTGTTGTTTGTTTCACACCCAAAAATATTTTGCATCTTCAAAGTGGTAGGCATGTTGTGTAAATCAAATGATACAAACCCCCAAAAATCAATTTTAATTCCAGGTTGTAAGGCAACAAAATAGGAAAAATGACAAGGGGGGTGAATACTTTCGCAAGCCACTGTAAATAGGGGAACATTCCTAATAGTGTGTGTCTGTGTGTGTGTGAGTGTGTCTGTGTACCTGTGTATGTTTGTAAGTAAGTTTGCTGTTCTACCTGGAAATTAATTCTGTCCACATAAATCAGTCCCTGATTAGAGTGGAACAATGAAAAAATGCAGTGGAACTGGCTTCAAGGTCCAGAGTGTAGTTTGAGGGCTCTAGTATATAAACTCAGCAAAAAAAGAAACTTCCTCTCACTGTCAACTGCATTTATTTTCAGCAAACTTAACATGTGTAAATATTTGTATGAACATAACAAGATTCAACAACTGTGACATAAACTGAACAAGTTCCACAGACATGTGACTAACAGAAATGGAATAATGTGTCCCTGAACAAAGGGGGGGGGGTCAAAATCAAATGTAACAGTCAGTATCTGGTGTGGCCACCAGCTGCATTAAGTACTGCAGTGGATCTCCTCCTCATGGACTGCACCAGATTTGCCAGTTCTTGCTGTGAAATGTTACCCCACTCTTCCACCAAGACACCTGCAAGTTCCCTGACATTTCTGGGGGGAATGGCCCCAGCCATCACCCTCCGATCCAACAGGTCCCAGACGTGCTCAATGGGATTGAAATCCAGGCTCTTGGCTGGCCATGGCATAACACTGACATTCCTGTCTTGCAGGAAATCACGCACAGAATGAGCAGTATGGCTGGTGGCATTGTCATACTGGAGGGTCATGTCAGGATGAGCCTGCAGGAAGTGTACCACATGAGGGAGGAGGATGTCTTCCCTGTAACGCAGAGATTTGAGATTCTCTGCAATGACAACAAGCTCAGTCCGATGATGCTGTGACACACCGCCCCAGACCATGACGGACCCTCCACCTCCAAACCGATCCTGCTCCAGAGTACAGGCCTCGGTGTAACGCTCATTCCTTCGACGATAAACGTGAATCTGACCATCACCCCTGGTGAGACAAAACCGTGACTTGTCAGTGAAGAGCACTTTTTGCCAGTCCTGTCTGGTCCAGCGACGGTGGGTTTGTGCCCATAGGCAACGTTGTTGCCGGTGATGTCTGGTGAGGACCTGCCTTACAACAGGCCTACAAGCCCCCAGTCCAGCCTCTCTCAGCCTATTGCGGACAGTCTGAGCACTGATTTACATTTTACACTTTAGTCATTTTAGCAGACGCTCTTTTCCAGAGCGACTTACAGTTAGTGAGTGCATACACTTGTGATGGAGGGATTGTGCGTTCCTGGTGTTACTCGGGTAGTTGTTGCCATCCTGTACCTGTCCCACAGGTGTGATGTTCGGATGTACCGATCCTGTGCAGGTGTTGTTACACGTGGTCTGCCACTGCAAGGATGATCAGCTGTCCGTCCTGTATCCCTGTAATGCTGTCTTAGGTGTCTCACAGTACGGACATTGCAATTTATTGCCCTGGCCACATCTGCAGTCCTCATGTCTCCTTGCAGCATTACTAAGGCACGTTCACGCAGATGAGCAGGGACCTTAGACATTTTTCTTTTGGTGTTTTTCAGAGTCAGTAGAAAGGCCTCTTTAGTGTCCTAAGTCTTCATAACTATGACCTTAATTGCCTACCGTCTCTAAGCTATTAGTGTCTTAACGATCGTTCCTCAGGTGCATGTTAATTAATTGTTTATGGTTCATTGAACAAGCATGGCAAACAGTGTTTAAACCCTTTACAATGAAGATCTGTGAAGTTATTTGAATTTTTACGAATTATCTTTGAAAGACAGGGTCCTGAAAAAGGGACTTTTCTTTTTTTGCTGAGTTTACATTGCATTCGGAAAGTATTCTGACCTTGACTTTATCCACATTTTGTTACGTTGCAGCCTTATTCTAAAATTGATTAAATATGGTTTTAATCTACACAAAATACCCCATAATAACAAAAACATTTTTGCAAATGTATAAAAAAAAAAAAACAGAAATACCTTATTTACATAAGTATTCAGACCCTTTGCTATGAGACTCGAAATTGAGCTCAGGTGCATCCTATTTCCATTGATCATCCTTGAGATGTTGCTACAACCTGATTGGAGTCCACTTGTAGTACATTAAATTGATTGGACATGATTTGGAAAGGCACACACCTGTCTATATAAGGTCCCACAGTTGACAGTGCATGTCAGAGCAAAAACCAAGCCATGAGGTCGAAGCAATTGTCCGTAAAGCTCTGAGACAGGATTGTGTCGAGGCACAGATCTGGGGAAGGGTACCAAAACATTTCTGCAGCATTGAAGGTCCCCAAGAACACAGTGGCCTCCATCATTCTTAAATGGAAGAAGTTTGGAATCAAGAAGACTCTTCCTAGAGCTGGCCGCCAGGCCAAACTGAGCAATCGGGGGAGAATGGCCTTGGTCAGGGAGGTGACCAAGAACCCGATGGTCACTCTGACAGAGCTCCAGAGTTCCTCTGTGGAAATGGGAGAACCTTCCAGAAGGACAACCATCTCTGCAGCACTCCACTAATCAGGCCTTTATGGTAGAGTGGCCAGACGGAAGCCACTCCTCAGTAAAAGGCACGACAGCCCGCTTGGAGTTTGCCAAAAGGCACCTAAAGGACTCTCAGACCATGAGAAACAAGATTCTCTGGTTTGATGAAACCAAGATTGAACTCTTTGGCCTGAATGCCAAACATCATGCCTGGAAGAAACCTGGCACCATCCCTACGGTGAAGCATGGTGGTGGCAGCATCATGCTGTGGGGATGTTTTTCAGCGGCAGGGACTGGGAGACTAGTCAGGATCGAGGGAAAGATGAACGGAGCAAAGTACAGAGAGATCCTTGATGAAAACCTGCTCCAAAGCGCTCAGGACCTCAGACTGGGGTGAAGGTTCAGCTTCCAACAGGACAACGACCCTAAGAACACAGCCAAGACAACGCAGGAGTTGCTTCAGGACAAGTGTCTGAATGTCATTGAGTGACCCAGCCAGAGCCTGGACTTGAACCCGATCGAACGTCTCTGGAGAGACCTGAATACAGCTGTGCAGCGACGCTCCCCATCCAATCTGACAGAGCTTGAGAGGATCTGCAGAGAAGAATGGGAGAAACTCCCCAAATACAGGTTTGTCAAGCTTGTAGCGTCATACCCAAGAAGACTCGAGGCTGTAATCGCTGCCAAAGGTGCTTCAACAATGTACTGAGTAAAGGGTCTGAATACTTTTGTAAATATACTGTTTCCGTTTTTTATTCTTTATACATTTGCAAAAATGTCAAAAAAAACGGTTTTTGCTTTGCCATAATGGGGTATTGTGTGTAGATTAATGAGGGGGAAAAAACAATTGAATCCATTTTAGAATAAGGTTGTAACATAACAAAATGTGGAAAAAGTCAAGGGGTCTGAATACTTTACGAATGCACTGTACAAAGCCATACCACGTAAGGCAGGGAATGGCAGAAGTGTTGTGCCAGCCTCAACACTGCCAGCTTCAATCTCACCAAGTGGTGCATGTGTAGTGGTGGCCATACGCAGGCATACTCAGTATTCACACCTTTGTCCTTTACAGATATACACACTATTTATAATTGAGAATATTTGAATGATTGAACAATTGATAGATCCATCCTAATTCCTTTCATCTCTGCCATTATAAATGGAGGGAATGACCACCTATAGCTAGCTACCTACACCATATAGACAATTGTTGATACTTAAGTCATTCTCACCTGATGGCAGAGAGAGGGTGATGCTCAAATCTTGGTATGTCATAGCTGGTGCTGGATAGTCTTGAACGATCCTTGTACAGTGTACAGACAGACAGACAGATACACACACACACACCTGTTTGGAATGATAGCTAGCTATCTTTAGCCTTTAGCTCGATGCTTGGTGGCTTTTAATATAAGCTCCCTGTCTTGTCTGTCAGTAAAGCCACCAAGCATTGAAGGAAGTCAGCTAGCTAGCTAACTAACTAATGTTACTTGTTGGTGGCCCTTATTTATAACTAAGCTGGCGAAAGCTCGCTAGCTGGAGCGATGGTCAGGTAACGTCAGATAGTCACACAGCTTTTACTTTGAAAACAACTAGCACAAGTATCCTGTTGCAGCCCCTCCTCTCTACGCCCACAACGTCTCTGTTCATTAATTACATTTTGTGGATGACATAAGAAAAATGTATTCATGCAGTCGAAATGGTTATCCGTCTTATGCTGATTCATATTTTTTTGACAATAGCTCTAATGATGAATCCAAAAAATATAGCTCTTATTATCAGAACGCTAATATCATAAACATGCGTGTAGCGACATGAAGTTGGATTTTTGTATCCAAAAGCAGATAAGTTAAAACTAGCTAACTGAGATTGTGTTATATGGAGTTTATGTGTGAATGTGGAGGTCACAAACGTCCAAGGATAACATTTCCTAAATTGGCACTTTGCAAGAATAAGTGATTTTACTAAACAACACAATCATAAACACACTCACTCATTAAGATAAACAAATCAGTCAAACAAATAGGTCGTTTTGTGGGAAATTTTACTTTGAGATCAAAGTTTAGCTTCATTAATGTTATAGAAAACTACCCAGAGCTAACAGGCCATTCGAAATGGCTTCTGATTTATAGAAGGTGCTGTGTTGGTGTTTCCTTTGAGAACTTTGTTAATGTATGTGTGTGTGGATTGTGTGTCTTCATATTATATGTGTGTGTAACCTGTGTCTGTGTAACTGACTCTCACTGACTAAGGCGATGGGGTGGTGGTTGGCCCCTCTATCTGCCCCCAACTATAGGTCCCCTCGTCACCACTTGGAGCGGCTGCTGGAGGAAAGTCTCGGAACAAGGGCAAGTCGCAGGAGTCGGGGTGGAGCAGGAAGCCAGAGAAGGTGCTTCTGCTCTCGTTGTCAGCGTACATGCCGTTGGTGATGGTGTCCTTCACCTGCAGCCACACCCGGTCGCCCATGGCCAGGTGGAGCACCACCTGTTGGCTAGCGGTGCCCAGATGGGCTGGCTCCGTGGTCTTCACGATAGGGTTGAAGTTATGGAACAGACCCACCTTCAGCACCTTGCTGAACACCACCAGGTGGTAGCTGAAGACATAGGTGCCGTTCACCGGTGCCCTGTAGATGCCAATGGTGGGGTCGAAATGAAACTGCTGGTTGGTGATGACTTGGGTGAACGGCACGGGCTTGTCCGGTAGTGGGTAAATTGTGCCGAGCGCGGCGGAGAATGAGGACTGGATGGTTGGCGAGCACGGTCCGGGAATGCCCATCATGCCGAGTTCGCCCTGGTTGCCCTTTTCACCGTTGAGGCCCACGGCACCCTGAGGGCCCACCTCACCCTGCTCTCCCTTGGGCCCTGGGATCCCTTGTTGACCGTCTGCCCCGTCTGCTCCATCTGTGCAGTTGCACACGCCCTCCGCTCCCAGTTCACCTTTCTCACCATCCGTCCCGGGGACCCCAGGGGCACCCATGTCCCCTGTGTCGCCCTTGGGCCCCGTAGTCCCTGGAGGGCCAGCTACCCCGGGGAGACCCCTGGCTCCAGCCGGTCCGGGTATCCCTGGTTGTCCTGCATGGCCCTGGACACTTTCACAGGACGCAGGGCAGGTCCCTACCTCTCCCTGGGGCCCCATCTCTCCCTGTGGACCCTCCAGACCCTGGTCCCCTTTGTCCCCTGAAACACACGGCACACAGCACACGGCACACACACACACACACACACACACACACACACACACACACACACACACACACACACACACACACACACATAGATGAGATCTAAAGTTCCAAAGTTGGATGCTGGAGAGATTAGTTTATGTTCTGCATCTGTTGTTTGACTAACCTTTGAAGCCGCGGGCCCCCTTAGTGCCGGTGAAACCCATTGGCCCAAGCTCGCCCTTCTCATTTTGATCTCCCTTCTGACCTGTAACAGAGAGGTATAAAGTAAGAGAAAGAGAGAAGAAAGTTGCAAATCATTTTCTGCAAGCTTGGATTACCGTCGCTGCTCAGATATGGAACAGTGCACAGCTTTTTTGCTTTTTTTTTAGTCTTAACAGAATTGACAAGTATCACTTACCCTTCAGTCCTTGGCGGCCCACGAACCCAGGCCGACCTCTGAACCCTGTGAGTCCTCTCCTCCCAGGACTTCCTGGAATACCTTTGTGGGTTAAGAACAACGACGTAAACAATATGTAGCTAGCTAATATACTGTATTTAATATATTATATCTATGCTTGAGAGTGGCAGAGAGAAAAACAGAGAATGAGGCAAAGACAGTGGATGCAGCTAGTTGTATCGTTTGTTAAGATGATGTGTAGACCTAAAATACTGCCAGAGCAAAAGAAAAGGTCCACACTTCTAATTAGGGTGAAAAAAAACGAAATGTTTTTGATCCATTTGAGACAAACCATATTTTTTCACCTTCATTTTAAGAGAGTGTACATTTATTTTTCTACTTCTAATGGGACTACCATAAATACAAATAAAATAAAGGTACTAAATAAATGAATACTGTTCTATGCCTGTCTACATACCTGGCAGGCCCCTATCTCCGCTGTCTCCTTTGGGTCCCACGCTGGCCTTGCAGCGGGAGCAGATGCAGAACCAGGGCACCTGGTCCATGGGGGGCGGCACTGGCACCTCCAGCAGTGTCTGGCAGTATGACATGTCTAGCATGTCCGGCTCCGACCCGGCCTCACCTACCAGCAGTTCGCCAGTTCGCCAGTTCCCAGTCATGTTCATGTGAGGGTTGGGTGGCATGTTCATGTGAGGGTTGGGTGGCATGGAGAAGCCAGGATTGGGGTAGTCGGAGGGGAGCATGGGACCGTTGCGGGCATTCATGTTCTGGTTATTGGTGGGCATAGGGTAGTCAGGCATTGGGTACATGTGGAGGTCAGTAGGGGGGATGGGGCTCTCGTCGGAGCCTGGGGACGGGAGAGGGGGCATCTCGTTGTATCCCCCGGGGGGTGAAGTATGCATCGCCGAGGAGATGGTGGAGCATAGGAGCAGTCCCAGCAGACTGGTCGTCTTCTAGAGAGAGAGAGAAAGATAGAAAGAGAGAGACAGAAAAAGAGACAGACACACACACACAGATCCAGAGAGACAAAAAGAGAGAGCCAGATAGGGAACGAGAGAGTGAGAGAGATATTTCCAGTTGTTTTCATGACCTTTCAACAGAACTACTTAATCAATTTTATTTCTTCAAACAATGACCCAAAACTTGTTTTTGATACAAAATGAGAAAAAAAATACAGTGGTATCTCATCGGGCACAAACTGGTTAAATCAACGTTGTTTCAACTTAATTTGTCAACATATTGTGAAATGGAATCTATGTGGAAAATACATTGGATTTGAAAAAAGTCCTCAAAAAGTTGTTTGGAGGGTGAAACTTCAACCACAGGATTATGTCATCATGGTAACCAATTTTCAACATAGACAAATCTTGTATAAAATATGTTGAATTTGTACATTTGAAACAACGTCAGATCTTCAACTTTATATCCACTATCAGAAAAAAACAATAGTCTGGGCAGCACCTCCTACTGGACAGTTGATCTATCTACAGCTATCCATTTGGTTTCTCATCCAGGGTGTTTACCAAGCCCAGCTTTGATATTTGTCACTGACTACTACCAATGTTCTATCATGAGAATGATTACTGAGAGATCTCTTAATAACTAAATAGATAAAGAATAGGACTAAACCAAATCAAACTTTATTTAAAGTGCATTAAAAGTTTGATTTGATTTAGTCCCCGATTATTTGATTGAGATGGAGACATGAATCCAACATATCAATTATTAATTTGTAGACAAACTGGATATTGAACTGTGTTTGGTTGTCAATGCAACCATATATCAACATTTGAAGAAGCTGTATCTTCTGCTTGGATAGTTCCATCTGTGCCACGGACTTAGTCTGGGTTTAATTCCAGTTTGTCTACAAATTAATAATTTAGATGATGGATTCATGTCTCCATCTCAACCAAAAATCTCATTTAGTCCTATTATTTAACTTAGATTTTTGGTTGAGATGGAGACATGAATCCAGCATATTAATTATTAATTTGTAGACAAACTGGAATTAAAGCCAGACTAAGTCAGTGGCATAAAAGATACATCTCCTTCAAATGTTGATATTTGGTTGCGTTGATAACCAAACACAATTCAAAATCACTTTTGCAATACAGTAAATAGCATAAAGTTCAGGCTATCTTACAAACTAATGTACCACTATTTATTCAACCTTAAAATGAGTAACACACCCATGGCCACATTTTGAGATTACTGTAAATGTAATCTTATGTAATCATAGAAAGCGTGCATGTTCAAGATAGCATGCAAAGGTCGCAGGTCTGTGGAGCTCTTCACAATTGCTATAATAATCTGTGCATAATCTTGAACAGCATTCATCACTTGTTTTAATGTAATCTCAAATGCAATCCAGGTCATTTGGTTGTGCTATTAGATGAAGCACGGTGATAACACAATAAGTTGTTGTAAAAATATCTGACATTGTATTCCCATTTGAACTTTGTTGTGCTTTTAAATGGTTGAAAGCGCAGTGATAACACATTCAGATGACAACTAAACCAAAAATCAGATATGGTTTTTCCATTGACATTTGGTTGTGCTACCTCCCGAGTGGCGCAGTGGTCTAAGGCACTGCATTGCAGTGCTAGCTGTGTCACTAGAGATCCTGGTTCGAATCCAGGCTCTGTTGTAGCCGGCCGTGACCGGGAGACCCATGGGGCAGCGCACAATTGGCCCAGCGTCGTCCAGGGTAGGGGAGGGAATGGCCGGCAGGGATATAGCTCAGTTGGTAGAGCATGGTGTTTGCAATGTCAGGGTTGTGGGTTCGATTCCCACGGGGGGCCAGTATGAAAAATGAAAATAATGTATGCACTCACTAACTGTAAGTCGCTCTGGATAAGAGTGTCTGCTAAATGACTTAAATGTAAATGTTAAGATGGTTGAAAGCATAGTGAAAAAACATTAGAATTCAACAAACTTCTGGCTCTCTTTTTGAGTGTTTGAATAAAGGTTGAAATCTCATTGATCAACGTCTCAACCAAATATTACCCACATTTCCACACTGAAATTGCATGATGTGCCCAGTGGGATGTTTTCAGTTAACCTACACCATACTTAATCTTGTTTATTGAACAGTTATAATAGTGATTAGTGACTAATGTACTTTTGTCCTGAGAATTATCCACCAATCCCTTACCAATCACTGTACGCTCATGTCTAACCAATTTATTATGAAGACTATCATCTACTACAGATAATGCAACAAAACAATTTCACTTCTTACTATAGGACCATACAATCCCTATCAACCAATAACACAGAACCTTCATCAATCACCAATACACTTATCAACCAATCAATTGTGCCACTCATCCATAAAACTGATCACTCATTCACGACTCACCAATCCCATTGGTCAATACTCAGTTCGCTCAGTTTCAGTTCGCTGCAGCTAGCGACTGGAACGAGCTGCAAAAAACACTCAAACTGGACAGTTTTATCTCCATCTCTTCATTCAAAGAATCAATCATGGACACTCTTACTGACAGTTGTGGCTGCGTCGCGTGATGTATTGTTGTCTCTACCTTCTTGCCTTTTGTGCTGTTGTCTCTGCCCAATAATGATTGTACCATGTTTTGTGCTGCTACCATGTTGTGCTGCTGCCATGTTGTGATGCTACCATGTTGTTGTCATGTTGTGTTGCTACCATGCTGTGTTGTCATGTGTTGCTACAATGCTATGTTGTTGTCTTAGGTCTCTCTTTATGTAGTGTTGTGGTGTCTCTCTTGTTGTGATGTGTGTTTTATCCAACAACAACAAAAAAATGTATCCCAGCCCCCGTCCCTGCAGGAGGCCTTTTGCCTTTTGGTAGGCCGTCATTGTAAATAAGAATTTGTTCTTAACTGACTTGCCTAGTTAAATAAAGGTTCAATAAAAATAAATAAAAATACCCATACAAGAACAGCCCAAAGTATCAACGGTCAAACCAACAGCCTTGACTCACTGGTAATAGTCTTTTGAAGTTTTCCATTTTTCAAAAGACTATTACCAGTGAGTGCTCCGTGCAGGTTTTCAACCACCACAGATACCCTTTTCACACTACCTTGCCGTTTCAAACCAAACTGTGTTGACTTATTTATACATGGTCCTTTTCAGCAAAGTTCCAGCAACTATGGTGGATCTATATAACTAAGCCAGCTCAGTACAGCTTGGTTTGGCTCAGCTCGGTTCTGCTCAGTAGTGTGAAAAGCCCCAAAGATCCCACTCACAATTTAAAGAGTTGCACTCACCATTCCTTTGGAGTCTTGTGTCATCATGTGCAGGATGAAAGATATTAGTGGAATGATGATCAGGACAGAGGCATTGATCAATTTATAGGCCTCGCCCAAAACAACACTTTAAATCCACCTTGCACCCTCTAGACCTGCAGACAAAGCATATGAGGGAGGAATGGAAGGTGGGAGGAGGAAGAGATACTTCATTGTGCTGTGTACAGAGCAACTAGGGCTTCTACCTGTAAAATGACCTCATTAGCGATCAACAGCATGGTCCACAAAATTATATAATCAAAAGAATAGAGGGGTAAAAAAAAAAGAGCGAGAGAGGCGTCACCCGTGTTGCTACAGTATATTCCACCCTCTTCCTTGTCCCATGACTCCCTCCACCTTGCTCTCTCTTCACTTTTCCTCTCACCTCTCACTCCTCTCCCTCAATGTCACTTTTTCCGTCTTCCTCTCTCTCTCCATCTCCCTTTCCCTCTCATTCTCTGCCTCTCGCTCCACTCTCCGAGGTTTCAGAGAAGGTGTTGATGGAGAGATAAGGAGCTCAGACAGAAAACAGATCTATTTCAGACAGCTGGGTCTGTTGTAACCAGCACTCCATAGACACAAGGGGCTCCACTGGCCTACTTCAGCTCATGTGTCTGTTTCTGGACTGGACTGCTTCCTGAAACCAAGACTGTGGCCCCCTAACAGGAAATGTCAAGACCCCCCAATATAGACCTGGGCCCATATTCATATAGCATCTCAGAGTAGAAGTACTCATCTAGGATCTGTTTAGCCTTTTAGATCATAATGAATAAGATTGGATGGACAGGGGGTGACCCTATCGTAGATCAGTACTCATACTTTGAGATGCTTTATGAATACAGGCTCTGATAAATCACATTGGAGCGATTGCAGTGTGTGGTCTCTTGTATAATATTTGTTTTATATCCAGGACTTGCTCAAAGACATTGGTATGTCTGTACTATTTCCCAATATAATATTGTACATTACATTTACGCAGATGCTCTTATCCAGAGCAACTTACAGGAGCAATTAGGGTTAAGAGCCTTGCTCAAGGGCACATTGACAGATTTTTCACCTAGTTGGCTCGGGGATTAGAACCAGCGACCTTTCGGTTACTGGCACAACGCTCTTAACCACTAAGCTACCTGCCTGACACACTCTGCATTTTATTGAGGAAAAGTGTGTTGAAGTCTTGTTTAAAGTAAGGGAAGGGCAACATGGTCTTGTCTTTGGGTTTTTCAGAGAAAATGAAACTTTGGTAGAAATATGATTAATGTTTAATTAATGGTTGACAAATTAATTAATGGTTGACAAGGGCAATAGTTCAGAGAATTTGTGTGACAGTTATACGCAAGAAAACACCTTCTATAAAATGTCTATACGGATTAATAATGTTATGTATATCAATAATGTTATTTACATCATATAAGCATAATTAAAGATGCACTATGCAGAAATCGCTCCACCCTTTTCCTGGTTGCTAAAATTCTAATAGTTTAACTAATTTCAGTTTATGTAACAAAACAAGCAAGTATAGTGTAGAGAATCATTGTACCATCCAAACCGCAGTGAAATATATTTTCCGTAACCAAAAATATTGTATTTTCAGCTGTTTGAAGCTGATGTACAAAACCGAAAGTAAAAGACGCAAAAACGAGCGCGCATAGAACAGATCTGCCGCTTGAACAGATCTACCGACTTGCTTTCAATGAGAATGACAGATCTGTAACTCACATTTCTATGTGAATTTTGTTGGGTCGCCCAAAAAGTTACAGAATTGTAGCTTTAATATATTAAGTCAAAGTAAATCATGTATTTCACGAGTTGAGGATTTATGTCTTACAATGTTGGCATGGATTCCATCGTGTGCTAGATTTACGATCAAATCTGCGCGTACACATTTTTTGGGTACAAATGAAGCCCCACCAATGTGCTTCTTACATGTTCCAGGGAAACAGGATTAGGGTGGACCGGTAAACTGGTCTGGGACACAACACAGGCCCCTAGCGACCAAACCCCTGACCCTGTTACCTGTGAGGGACCACTTAGCGGGACGGCCAGTTCCGTACCCATAGTGTCCTGGGGAATAACCACACCCTTCCCTCCAAACACCTTTGTTCCCCCCCTGCAGAACTCTATTATCCAGGCCGGTTCTGTAATATATCAACAGTGTGGATACAACAGAAACCTGAGCCATAGAAACAAGGCCCGTGCACAATGAGGATAATGGAGGATGAATGGCGACCCCAATAACTGGCCTCATTTCCACACTCTCAGACACAAATACAGGCCAACCGAAGGTGGCATGCTGTTGTCAATGTGCCTCTGTGTTCTAGTACCCTCTGCGCTTTCTCAGCTTGGTGCCATTTGAACAGTATAGCGATGGTGTACAGTATGTCTGTGTGTGTGTACTCGTGTGTGTGTGTGCGTGTTCGCATACATTTGTTCATACTTTTCTCTGTGCTCTATTGTTCGTCTATATGTAGGCCTACGTGTTTACGTTTCAAGTACTTTGAGCTTTAAATTGAGGCTTCCTAAGCTATTGTGTTGAGAAGGACAGTAGTATTTTAAGAAGGCTACTTGATGCCTTCCCTCTTTCTGAGGGTGTGAATTTGCATGGGAGTGTGTGTTACATAATTGAAAAATGAGAGGTATCATTCATATATGAGTTTGTCCATATAGCATTGTTATCCACCATTGACCCAACTTAACATCATTTTTTGAAAGTATTGGTAACCCTTCATATGAATACCCTCTCCGTTATGCATTATAAGCACATTCACAATGCCTTATGAGCTATGTATAATGCACTATCAACAACAGAGATGCTAATAGCTGCTCATAAACATCTATAACTACATTCATAAAGTATTATGAGCAGGGAGCATAATGCTTGTTTGTACTATTTTGCATATCTTGTATCTGTTACATGTTTCTTACTTAATAACTATTAATGATTTAATTGAATTGTGTACATTATACTGTAAAACAAGATGTATGCACAGTACATATGAATGATTAAGTTTGATTTAATGTATATGACCTTAATTCATGTGTACTCATGTGTGCTTGCTTGTGCTTGTGCTCATGTGTGCTTGCTCAGGTTAGAATGGGAGGTGAGTATTGTATTAGGGAACACTGACTGAGATAGACAGCAGTAACACAGACTGTGAACTCACAGTAAACATCTGAAGTTAGTCATTAACACAGTTTAAACATCACATCCCGTCAGTCCTGTCCCGGCCTTGTTTCTGAAGATGTAAGTAAAAAAATACCTTTTGTGAATCCTTTGTTTTGACATTTCTCTTTTTCATCGGACAATTGTCTGTTTTGATCAATTAAATGTTTTTATTAGTTGATGGCATGGTCATGAGGCAATGCTAATTCACTCCATGGGCATTTATCCCTCCTCCTATCATTTGGACAGGGCCATGTTTGTAGAGATTCCACAGTCGCTAATCGTATCTTTATAAACATTGCATGAGGAAAGATGCAACCAAAGTAACCCAAAGCATGGGGAATTAGCGCACCAGTTTGTGTTTCTCTATGTATCACTAATATTTGAATCTCTGTTTCTTAGAGAAGAACATTGAACTGGAGATAATTGAGTTTGTTGGTCTTTACTATCTGGTATGGGACCTCTATTTTCATTTAGCAATAATTCATTTGGTTTTATGAAGATTTAGATCTTATACCAATATAACTTGTTAATACTGAGTGTACAGCTACTGCGTGAAAATCAGATTAACGTAAACATAAATCTCTAAACTACCATTTGCAAATGCTTAGTTGACAGTTTCCATTGGCTGCAGGGTCTGTAGATATCATGGGCAAGATTTTCCTCTGTGTGACTGCGGCTCTCGCTTTGTGGTCGGCTTCTGCTCTCAGCACATCAGGTAATAAATGTATAATCTGAAGACCCAGTAGCACGTTTTTCATGTCCACCACTAATGTGATGCAATCACCTGTAAGGTCACACCTGTATACGGACAAACATTGCTAAAAGTTTATGTATTTTTGTAATGTTTCTATATAGTACATAATAATACTGCATGTGCAAGAGGAATTGGAGACTAGCATTGTAGTTCCTAATATCACGGGAACTACAAACAGTTCTGGTGCCTAAAGAGTTACATTTCCTGAATGCTTGCTGTGGTAGGGAAATGCTAGAGTGCCATGTTGCACAAGCACATTGAATAACATTCTAACCTTACAAGACAGTTTTAATCATTTAGCAGATGCTGTTATCCAGAGTGACTTACAGGAGCAATTAGGGTTAAGTGCCTTGCTCAAGGGCACATCAACAGATTTTTCACCTAGTCGGCTCAGGGATTAGAACCAGCAACCTTTCGGTTACTGGCACAACCCTCTTAACCACTAAGCTACCTGCCGCCCCCAGTTCATTGAGTTCTAATATCAGTTGCCTTTTGCAATGCAAAGCAAAAATGAGCGTTTCATATTGGACAAGTCCATGGTAGTCCTCCCTGTTATAGCCCGTTTACCTCCTCTTAATGCCAAATGAACACACCTGGTTTTGTTTGTCAGTGTTTTCCAGCGGTCCTGAGGCCCACATGCTCCTGCGCTCCAAAAGGGCCAATACCTTCCTGGAGGAACTGAAGCCTCCATCGATGGAGCGGGAATGCGTGGAGGAGAGATGTGAGTTTGAGGAGGCAAGGGAGATTTTCAAAACCAGGGAGGCCACGGTAAGCTGTTTTTAATTTAAAAAATGGTGTATACCATTTATCAATTCTGTATGGCGAAGGAATAATAGACTTTGACAGTCTTCTACTTGTTTTCAGTTGGAATTCTGGACGGTTTATACAGGTCAGTGAAGTCTTTTGTTCCGAATAAACTCATATATCCTTCTAACTGCCTTGAATTTTATACATTTTATGTTGTACATTATGTAAACACATTGGCAAACATGCATATTGGGGAATCAGTTCAATGAACAAGACAGAGCTCTACACAATGTTTAAACTACAATCAAATGTTTTCTACCAAAACACCTTCACTCTCGGTCTCCCTGTGTCAATGTACTGTACCTCTCAGGGTTACATCTGTCTTTGGTGTGTATCTTAGATGGAAATCAATGCATTTCAAACCCCTGTGTGAATGGGGCCTGTGTGGACCGCTTCCAGTCCTATGACTGCAGCTGCAATCCAGGATTTGAGGGAAAACACTGCGACCAACGTGAGCCCCTGACACCACTGTCTTTGATATGTTTGCACCTGTGATGTTCTTGACTTTTGAGTGTTTGTTATGTCTCTGATTGGGTGTAAAACATACTATATTTTTCTGTGATCAACTTTTTGTTTCCTAATATATGAGAAACAAACATTAACGTGTTTGTTATGTCTGTGACGTGATGTGATACTATTTTCTGATGTGTGTTTTGTCTTGGAGAGTACTTGTTATGTCTCTGGTTCTGGTTCTGTTTCTTGTGTTGGTGCTTCTTTGTGTTTTGGCTTTGATACTGTCTGTTGTGAATAGCTAGCACAGCCACTAATTGCGCAATAGCCAACGGTGGTTGTGACCATGAGTGCCAAAACAATGAGGATGGCCTGAGACGTACCTGCAGCTGTGTCCAGGGATACCGTCTCCACCTGAACTCTAGACAATGTGTCCCCAAAGGTAAGAATTACTCTGGGGCCCTGTCTAGAAAAAACTCCGGCTAGGGGAACCATGCCTGGTTCTCTTCTGTGGCACAGGGAATTCTCCTCACATGGGACACCATTAATGTAGGGGATTGTCTAATTTGTAAGTATGTGTTATAGAAATGTGTACGAGAGTATACAGTGTTTCGGAATGTTCATCCATGTGTGTCTTAAGCGGAAAAACTCGGGTAGGTGGAGAAAGCAGAGAGAGGCGGGTGGAAAGGACAGGGCAGGCAAAGCAGTGACTGTATGAAATGACAAAATGTTTTTGTGTTTTGTGTGACTACAGTGCCCAAATAAATCAAAATAGAGACAGGTTCTTATTGAGCGAGGCATCAAAGCGAACAACCCACACACCCTGGTTCGGTTGGGTCATTATAATTCAAAACAATGCATTCTAAAATAAATCACACACATCAGTGGCGGTCAGTGCCATTTAAGATGAGGGAGGACACATTTTGCTTTCAGTCCTAGATTAATTCTCTGATCCTTTGATTGGGTGGATAACATGTCAGTTCATGCTGCAAGAGCTCTGATAGGCTGGAGGACGTCCTCTGGAAGTTGTCATAATTACTGTGTAAGTCTATGGAAGGGGGTGAGAACCATGAGCCTCCTAGGTTTTGTATTGAAGTCAATGTACCCAGAGGAGGACGGAAGCTAGCTGTCCTCCGGCTACACCTTGGCGCTACCCTACAGAGTGCTGTTGAGGTTACTGTAGACCTTCTTTGCAAAATAGTGTGTTTTAATCAATTATTTGGTGACGTGATTATATTTAGTATAGTTTTATCTAAAAAGGATAACTTTTTTAATGTTTTACCATTTTTATTTTTATGAAATTCACTGAGGAGGATGGTCCTCCCTTCCTCCTCTGAGGAGCCTCCACTGACACACACACCTCGCCCACTCACCTTTGGCGAGTTTATCATATTAGTGTGTGACTGCTTGTGCTTTAGTGTACAGTACAGTCTCTCTCCGTTCCTCTCTTACCTTTAGGTCACCACTCCTGTGGTCAGCTACTGGTGGCCAAGACCTCCTACAGTAAACCCATTCAAGGACTACTGCCCTGGCTGGTAGGGGGAGAAATGGGCAAGAAGGGGGAGAGCCCCTGGCAGGTACCATCCATACATTGATCCATACACTATCCATACATTGATTCTGTTTCAGTACCCATCCACTACAACTGACATAAAAAGTAGTCTAGTGTCAAGATGATTCCACTTCCCAGCCAGTAAAGGGAAAAGAAAGACACCATGTAATTTCGAGATTTGCAGGGCAATATTACATTTGTGGTTGAAACATCTAACTGGATCTACACAACCAATGACGTGGGATGTGGAATCATATTGACATTAGACTACGATGGAAATCTGAAAACATCTGACGAACATACATTTAGGAGTGTAATACTGCTTTAAAAAGTAATGTACTGTATAAAGTTGTTTGTGTGTGTTTGTGGGTGTCTTAGGCTCTTGTGTTGAATGCAAGGGGGAAGTTTCACTGCGGAGGGGTCTTAATTGATGAGAACTGGGTCCTCACCGCAGCCCATTGCCTGACCAGTAGCCTTCGCTTCAGCGTCAGACTGGGTAAGTCACATTATACCTTCATCACTTCCCCGATACAATTATTATTATACACACCGGCAGACCAATCCTTCTCACCTTCTTCTCCCTATACACAGCCAGTTTATGGTAGTTTTCAATAGGGCATGCAAAGGAAAACATTTAAAACCTATTGCAATGGAAAATGAGTGTTTCTCATCAGTGACTGTAAAACACTTTATCCTATGTTGCTGCAACCAGCTCTTTATCACTGATTATCCATATTTAACTTTCACTCCTCTACTATTTCAACAACAGGTGACTACGAGCGCTATAAGCTGGAGGGCACTGAAGTCACTGTGCCGGTGATCAAGACCTTCTCTCACCCGAACTACAACAAAGAGACGGTGGACAACGACATCGCCCTGCTGCGCCTGGACTCTCCTGTCACCTTCTCCGAGTACATCCTCCCGGCATGCCTCCCTAGCCGCGCTCTGGCCGAGGGCGTGCTCCACCTCAATGGCACACGCACAGTGGTGACGGGTTGGGGCAAGGAGGAGCAGAACTCCCAGCGCTTCACCTCAGCCCTCAACTTCATCGAGGTGCCGCTGGTGGAGCATGAGCTGTGTGCCCGTCACATGGTCAACAACGTGACAGGTAACGTTCTGTGCGCCGGTGTGATAGGCCGGCGGGAGGACGCGTGCGAGGGCGACAGCGGCGGCCCAATGGTCACCTTGTACCATAACACCTGGTTCCTCATCGGCCTGGTGTCCTGGGGCGAGGGCTGTGGTGACGAGGACAAACTGGGCATCTACACCAAGGTGTCCAACTACAATGAGTGGATTGAGAGTGTGCGGAAGGGGTGGTACAAGGCCCCTGAGCCCTAAGACAAGTCCCTCTACATTTCAAATTCCTTCCCTCCATCCACTCTACTGAGTCTATCCACCTGGGTACAGGTTAGATATCTAACATGCTTTGTGAAATAAATCAACACATTCTCAAGTTTCACAGTTGTTCTTTCATGTTACTTTGCAGATTCATTATTTTGTCATCTTTACAGACAAAGGTACAGTAGAATACTGGCCTTTGGTATAATTCACAGTTCATATTCTTGGTCACACTTTATTTGGATAGTCCCATAAAGATTATCTACAGATGGTCATACTATGAACAAACTATCTGTTGATAAGCAACTGCTTGCTAAGGTTAGGGTTACAAGTTTAGATTAAAGGGGTAAGGGTTAAGGTTAGGGTTAGGTTAAGGGTTAAGTTTAGGGTTAGGATAAGGGTTAAGGTTAGGGCTAGGGTTAGTGGATAGGGAGTTGAAATGTTGTTGACAGTTATTGAACATCTGCTTTACATCTACACATCATCTACTTGGGACTATCCAAATAAAGTGTTACCTTTTTCATTGCTGCCCTGCTTAACAACAGATATCTACGTTTTCCTATGAGATTTACAGTGATATACTTTCTTAAAGGGATTGTAGTTGCCTAATATTCATCCCTAGTTCATACAGAAGCCATTTTTCTATTGGCTATTTCTACCTCGTTGTAGCACATCCAGTAGAATGGTTAAAGGCCAGCACTTGTACAAACAGTTGTTCACGAAATTCACAGATATACAGTCTCATAGATATACAGTCTCAATTATCATATGGTTGATTTCTTCTCTCTAGTCTAGATTTTTTTTGTCTCTTGTCTTAATGTTTTTTATGGCTTAAACATGTCAGACACATAGCTTCAGTAAAGTCTCAAATCCTTTAGGCTACATAAGCAGTACCTAGCACCTGAGATACACATAATACATGTAATACCAAAGACAGGTCATAGATTAACCTATAGCAATTAACAACATTAAACAACACTGACAAAGTGTCTAAAAGTACCCAAGATATACATTCAACAGACACTCTTATCCAGAAGCAATTAGTGCAAAGTGCCTTGCTTAAGGGCACATCAGACAATTTTTCACCTAGTTGGCTCAGGGATTTGAACCAGCAACCTTTTGGTTACTGGCCCAACACTCTAAACCGCTAGGCTACCTGCCGCCCCATATGTATGGAAGGGGAACATCTGGTTGCAAACAGGTTTACCCAACGTGTGCTGGGATGCACTCACAATAACAAAAAATATATGTACGTGACCATATAAGCACCCCAACAGCCAAATCAAATCAAATTTTATTGGTCACGTACACATATTTTGCAGATTTTATCGTAGGCACAGCAAAATGCTTATGTTTCTAGCTCCAACAGTGCAGTATACCTAACAATACAAAACCATACACAGAAATCCAAAACATTTAAAGAAAGAAATTAAGAAATATCAGAACAAGCAATGTCAGAGTCCAGAATATATATATATATATATATATATATATATATATATATATATATATATATATATATATATACACTACCAGTCAAAAGTTTGGACACACCTACTCATTCAAGGGTTTTTCTTTATTTTTACTATTTTCTACATTGTAGAATAATAGTGAAGACATCAAAACTGTAGTAACCAAAAAAGTGTTAAACAAATCAAAATATATTTTATATTTGAGATTCTTCAAATAGCCACCCTTTGCCTTGATGACAGCTTTGCACACTCTTGGCATTCTTTCAACCAGCTTCACCTGGAATGGTTTTCCAACAGTCTTGAAGGAGTTCCCACATATGCTGAGCATTTGTTGGCTGCTTTTCCTTCACTCTGCGGTCCGACTCATCCCAAACCATCTCAATTTTGTGGAGGCCAGGTCATATGATGCAGCACTCCATCACTCTCCTTCTTGGTAAAATGATGACAGCTTTGCACAATCTTGGCATTCTCTAAACCAGCTTCATGAGGAAGTCACGTGGAATGCATTTCAAATAACAGGTGTGCCTTGTTAAAAGTTAATTTGTGGAATTTCTTTCCTTCTTAATGCGTTTGAGCCAATCAGTTGTGTTGTGACAAGGTAGGGGTGGTATACAGAAGATAGCCCTATTTGGTAAATGACCAAGTCCATATTATGGCAAGAACAGCTCAAATAAGCAAAGAGAAACGACAGTCCATCATTACTTTAAGACACGAAGGTCAGTCAATACGGAACATTTCAAGAACTTTGAAAGTTTCTTTAAGTGCAGTTGCAAAAACCATCAAGCGCTATGATGAAACTGGCTCTCATGAGGACCGCCACAGGAATGGAAGACCCAGAGTTACCTCTGCTGTAGAGGATAAGTTCATTAGAGTTACCAGCCTTAGAAATTGCAGCCCATATAAATGCTTCACAGAGTTCACATCACAGACACATCTCAACATCAACTGTTCAGAGGGGACTGTGGGAATCAGGCCTTAATGGTCGAATTGCTGCAAAGAAGCCACTACTAAAGGTCACCAATAAGAAGAAGAGACCTGCTTGGGCCAAGAAACACAAGCAATGGACATTAGACCGGTGGAAATTTGTCCTTTGGTCTGGAGTCCAATATGGAGATTTTTGGTTCCAACCGCCGTGTCTTTGTGAGACGCGGTGTGGGTGAATGGATGATCTCCGCATGTGTATTTCCCACCATAAAGCATGGAGGAGGAGATGTTATGGTGTGGGGGTGCATTGCTGGTGACACTGTCTGTGATTTTATTTAGAATTCAAGGCACACTTAACCAGCATGGCTACCACAGCATTTTGCAGCGATACGCCATCCCATCTGGTTTGTGCTAAGTGGGACTATCATTTGTTTTTCAACAGCACAATGACCCAACACACCTCCAGGCTGTGTAAGGGCTATTTTACCAAGAAGGAGAGTGATGGAGTGCTGCATCAGATGACCTGGCCTCACAATCACCCGTCCTCAACCCAATTGAGATGGTTTGGGATGAGTTGGACCACAGAGTGAAGGAAAAGCAGCCAACAAGTGCTCAGCATATGTGGGAACTCCTTCAAGACTGTTGGAAAAGCATTCCAGGTGAAGCTGGTTGAGAGAATGCCAAGAGTGTGCAAAGCTGTCATCAAGGCAAAGGGTGGCTACTTTGAAGGATTTCAAATATGGTTACTACGTGATTGTGTTATTTCATAGTTTTGATGTATTCACTATATGGATGGACCATTTCAGTTTGTCAGTGATGTGCACGCGCACGCCGAGGAACTTGAAGCTTTTCACCCTCTCCAGTTGATGGATATGGATAGGGGCGTTCTCCCTCAACGTCAACAAAGTGAAGGAGCTGATCGTGGACTTCAGGAGACAGCAGAAGGAGCACGCCCCATCCATATCCATCGACTGGAGAGGGTGAAAAGCTTCAAGTTCCTCGGCGTGCGCGTGCACATCACTGACAAACTGAAATGGTCCATCCACATAGACAGTGTGGTGAAGAAGGCGCAACAGCGCCTCTTCAACCTCAGTAGGCTGAAGAAATTCGGCTTGGCCCCTAAGACCCTCACAAATTTCTACAGATGCACCATTGAGAGCATCCTGTCGGGATGTATCACCGCCTGGTAAGGCAACTGCATCGTCTGCAACCACAGGGCTCTCCAGAGGGTGGTGCGGTCAGCCCAACGCATCACTGCCTGCCATCCAGGACATCTACAGCACCCTTTGTCACAGGAAGGCCAAGAAGATCATCAAGGACCTCAGCCACCCAATCCATGGTCTGTTCACCCCACTACCATCTAGAAGGCGGAGACAGTACAGGTGCATCAGACTGAAAAACAGCTTTTATCTCCAGGCCATCAGACTGTTAAATAGTCACCACTAGCCGACCTCCGCCCAGTACCATGGACTGAACTTTAGTCACTGCTACTAGCCAGCTGCCAACCAGTACTCAACCCTGCACCTTAGAGACCGCTGCCCTAGGTACATAGCAATTGAACACTGGTCACTTTAATAATGTTTACATACTGTTTTACCCACTTTATATGTATATACTGTATTCTAGTCAAGGCTCATCCTATATAACTACTGCTGTACACACCTTTTCAATTCATATACTGTCCATAATGTCTATACACACCATCATATACATATATATTTATATTCCGGACTGACATTGCTTGTTCTAATATTTCTATATATTAAATTGTTTGGATTTGCGTGTATTGTTTTGTATTGTTAGGTATTACTGCACTTTTGGAGCTAGGAACATAAGCATTTCGCTACACCCGCAATAACATCTGCAAAATATGTGTACGCGACCAATAACATTTGATTTGATTTTATGCTTTATCTACTCAATAGCAACCCTCTATTGTAGCTTGTTGTATTACCTGAGCACAGGTCATTGCACCTGCTCTACATTCGCTGCTATAACTAACGTTTAATGGCTTAAGACTCTTTCAATTCCTGCAGAGTTTAGATTCAGTATTGCTCAAATAAATATTTAATGTGTGGCGGAGAAGAGTTTCTGAGCTGAAGAGATTTCAACACAAAAAGTCTGTAATAGTACATCTCCACAAAGCAGTCCATCGGGTTTGTCATGTTTTTTACTCTATTCCAATGTAATACTTCCCTCTAGAGGTTAAAGGTGGCACTGCAACAGTCTCTGCGGTGTTTGTACAGGTGTATATAAGTGCGGTCAATAAGTATAGAGCCAGAGTAACACTCTCTATGCAACCCATGGAAATATACATTATTGTGACATATTATTAAGAGATTGGGTTGCTTTATGAACCAGCTGTCCACCTCTTTGGATACAATGCTAGTTTCCCAGACACAGATGTCCTTTAAAAGTGCTATATATATTTAAAACATTTTTGTCATTTAGCAGACGCTCTTTTCCAGTGCGACTTACATGAGCAATTAGGGTTAAGTGCCTTGCTCAAGGGCACATCGACAGATTTTTCACCTAGTCGGCTCGGGGATTAGAACCAGCAACCTTTCGGTTACTGGCAAAACACTCTTAGCCACTAAGCTACCTATAAAACTCATGTATCATTAAACCTAGTCCTGGATATAAAATTGAGATTCTCTATTGACCATGGTTTTTAGTCTAGGACTAGGCTTAATCTGTGTCCGGGAAACCGGCACAAAGAGTTTCAGGACTGTCGGCTTAGGGTGGAGAGCTGCAGGGTCCTAGAGGGCGAGGAATATGGCACAACGTTAGGTTGGGGCGTTGTCCACCTCCCCCCGCCTCTTTTTCAGCTCTTGCTCATATCTTTCCAGCTGGGCCCAGAATCCCGAGTTGGGGTCCACCACTGAGCGAGAAGTCCTCACTTTCTGGAGAAGAAGATGAAGAAACGGAGTGTATAATGGTAATCAATTACCTGATCAGCCCTGGGACATACATACTGTAGCTGAATCACACAACACATTGGGTGCATCTCAATACTCTAATATGACTTCCTCTCCTCTCCTCCTGATGCAATGACATTAAAGAACTGGGCAGATATTTAAAGCAAGCAAAGTCTTGGTAAGCATCCTTGAAACAGCTTTTTACTCAGTCGTGGTTAATTTCAGATCATTGAAAATGAAAGAGAGGAGAAGGAGAGGAGACTAAAGGCATCCGCATGCTTCCCAGCCGAAACAGTTTTGAAGAGTGTGCATATATTATGATGACATTTTGTGCCGTTTTTGTTCGTTTTGGACTTCGGTAAGTGTTTTTTCGGCTGTTTGGGCACACCACATTTTTTCTCTAGGCAAGTCGAAGTCTGTAGCCGAAGTCTACGCCCCTTCACATTTACATTTACATTTACGTCATTTAGCAGACACTCTTATCCCTTCGTCGGTGATTGGACAACAAAGACAATAAAGTCTTTGTTGTCGTTCAATTTGAGATGACTCGTTTTCATGCACATTTTTTCATTGAGAAATACTGCACCAAACATCTTAGATTTAAAATCGCGCAACTAAGATCTCCTCAGCAAAAACATCAAAAATTAATGACAACTTCTTGAGTTGTCTTAGGTGAATTCTGACTATTTTGAGGAAGTCTATACTGGCTACAGCATCTCAAAAAGGACAAACAGTACTATTGCCGCTTTTTGTCTCGTTGTTCAAGTGAAGGTCTTTTTGGGGGAGCATGCGAGCACACTCGTTCGGTTCGCCTAGCCGAGTTTGGCTAGGTGCCAGCCAAACTGAAGCATGCTGATGCCTTAAGAGGAAGCCACTTTGAGATGCACCCATACGGTTTACAACCACAAAAACAAAGACAGACAGAAATCAGCTGATTATTCTACTTTACATTAGAGACTGAGTTTGGGTGAATTCAATTTAAATTCAGTCTATTCAGTAGGTTAATGGAAAAGTCCCAGTTATTGTCAATGAGGATTTTGAGGAGTCACTTCGTGAATTGACAGAGCTATTAACCATCTCGCCCTGGAAAGAATCACAATTACAATAAAATGACAATTAGACCAAAACGTCTTGCCATCTTTAACCCATCACTCCCATCCCTCCCTCCCTCCCTCCCTCCCTCCCTCCCTCCCTCCCTCCCTCTTTTTGTCACCTACCGTAAACGCGTCAGCCAATGAGAGCTTGCGGTACTTCATGAGGTACGCCACGCAGATGGTGGCAGAGCGGCTGCGGCCGTTCTTGCAATAGACGACGGTGTGGCCTCCCTTGGATGCCTCGTCCCGGATAGCGTCGGCACAGCTGTCGAAGTAGCGGTACAGGTCCTCAGTGGGGTCGTCGTAGACGGGCACACGCAGCGCAGTGATGCGTGACGCCTCGGGGAAGGGCTGCTGCTTGGACACGTTGATGCACAGCGTCACTGCCTCCTGCTGGATGAGGTCGTCAGTGCAGGCCGAGCGCGCGTTGCTGATGAACAGCGCATTGGTGACCTTGCACAGCTGGAGCTGCGGCTGGAAGCATCGTCGACGGATGACCTTTAACCCTGGTGACACGTCGACCTTTGCTAACTAACCCTGCGCTGCGCTCACACGCTCACTCGCACGAATGTCAACTTTCCTTTCTCCTATTTCACATATACACATGCACTTGCATACAACACTTTCGACTTGTATCTTTCCCACAAACACTTCACATTGACATTGATACAGAAGGCTGCAATGACATTCTCACACTACACACAAATAAATAACAGTAGCCTACACACTGCACACAAGTAGATTCACACTTTTCACATGCACCCCCTAATGACAATACAAACACATGCAATCACACTTCCAGTGACATTCATTCATTCCACAAACATACATACACTCACTAACACCGCCTACGCACTTGCTCTCTCACTGGAACACACTCTTCCTAGGGAAACTGTCTCTCCTTCAGGCTATGGCATGTGGGGGTTGTCGTGGCAGTCAGCTCTGGCCATCTGACTCTGTCCTAATAGCAAGCTATATTTATTGTAGGGGTTAGGTAGGTCCACGGTCAGGCACTCCCTGGGTCCTAACACCAGTTTAGTTCACGTTTGAAGGCTCCACAGTGATTCGTATTCTATGTGATGAGCTGGGGGTAGATTTAATAGAGTAGATGGTCTTTTTTAGTGTAGTGATCATGCAGTGTGCACCCACACACATATGCACAACACACACACACATTTGAAGAGTAGATCAGAGAAGAGATTGAATTATATCAATTAAAAGAGGAGAGTATAAATTCACACAATGGGGGATATTAACATTTTTAAAAAGCACACATTTGAAGGTGCTTATGTCTGATGGAAAACACATGAGTAATACAACTCATTATGACCATAAACACACCGGTATTCCACAATCATATATTCACTGATATCCTAGGAACTAATCAGAATCACATTGATTCAGAGACATGGACACACACAGACTTAGTGCCAGTCTGTGCAGCTATCCTGTTTGCTGTGTCACCACGCTATCCTCCTGCTTCATCATCACTGGACTTTGGAGGTCAAACTCTGACTGACTCAGCAATTGCCTGATGCCTACTCCAGCCCATCCATAGCTTACAGTATGTCTGTCTGTCTGTCTGTCTGTCTGTCTGTGTCTGTCTGTGTGTCTGTCTGTGTGTGTGTGTGTGTGTGTGTGTGTGTGTGTGTGTGTGTGTGTGTGTGTGTGTGTGTGTGTGGTGTGTGTGTGTGTGTGGTGTGTGTACGTGCGTGCGTGTGTGTGTGTGTGTGTGTAGTGAGATGGCAGACTGTGTTGTACCCTCTGCCCTCTCTGAAGGGGTTAGTGTGTGAGGGCTCTAGCCTGCTGCATCCTGAAAAACATGACCTTCCTCTCCTTTCACCAGGATACACACATCTCAACCTCCACATATGTAAGTGTGTCCGTGTGTGTGTTGTTTTAGTCTGCCCTAAACATAAAACAGTGTTTTCTGTGAGAGATAAGTGTTTCCACTGTTCTATGAAGTTGATGTGTGTTCTCAGTTGTGTTTGATTTAATTTAGTTCCCAGACACTTCCACCCAAATGCGCGAAGAGTCTGGTTGGCCAATGCGTGTGCGAGAGAGAGAGGAAAAGAGAAGCACTGATCTCAGTTGTCTGTAGTTATATTTAGCTGAGAGCGAGAGAGAGAGAGAGAGAGAGAGAGAGAGAGAGAGGTATGAAGAGGCTAGAAACCAACTTCTGTAAAATACTAGCTTCAAAGAGTACAGCTAGGTTGATGTATAGGTTTTTGCAAAAAATGGTTTCGGGTTTAAAAACTATGCCACAAAATAACCATTATACATTGGGACATTTCTACTTTACTGTGGGCGGATTCGATTATGCTGAGCCGCTGGGCACTGGTCTATGGCCTGTGACATGAACAGCAAAAGCAGTGAGGGAGGAGCGCCCTTCCCAAATCAACAGTAATCTCTCTGCACCGCTCAGTCATGTAGTCAACAAGGCAGCATGGTGCATCGTCTAGAAACATACAAACACATAAAATATTTGTTTGAATTTTTAAACTAGTTTTCATTGGGAAGGCAGATTATGCGTTTTTATCAAAAGCAATCACTTTTGCATGTGAAAACACAAAATCCTACTCATTACTCCACATGCTAATTACGTCACTTTTGTTTTGAGCTGACTTCGCCATGGGCTTTGAATGGGGCACCCGGTTCCAAAACGAATAGAATCAACTTTCTGCCCTAATGAAAAAAGATTGCAGTATAACTGCAGTATGCTGCAAATACTGCATCCAAAATAACACAGTTTTTTTACTGCAGTAATTTTGCAGTGTAACTGCAGTTAGAGTTATTCTGCAATTACTGTGTCCAAAATACCACAGTTGACTGCAGTTACTGCACTTTTACTGCAGTTTCACAGGGTGTGTTCGTAAATTCAATCTGGAGTGCCAGAGTGCGCTCAGAGTGCGCTCTGGGCGGTCGTAAATTCAGAGCATTGTCAGGTTGTCTGTTTGTCAATTCAGAGCGTTTCGCTCTCGGAGCGTTCAGAGCGCACACTGGATGCTCTGGCCGAGGAGTAGGGTTGATCCGAGCGTTCTGACCTCACAACGGCAGCTAACGTTGGCTAGCTTGCTAGCTACTTCCAGACACAAATGAGAGAACACCTCACTCTGACCATTTTACTCGCCCTAGCAGAGCTGGTTAGGCTGTTTTCATGTTATCTAGAGCGTTGGTGACTGTAACTGTGCTGCTGGCAACAATTTAATTACGCTTATTTGCTGACTTTTACTGACACCGGCCACATTCAACAGGTGTTGAGCGTTCATCAGTTATTCTGCGCTCTGGCACACTGAGACGACAGTGCTCTGAAATCGGAGTAGATAGCCAGAGTGAATTTACAAACGCACCCAAAACTGCAATATTATTTTGTAAGGGCGCCGGTGCAACAGACGCCTACCCGAGCGCCCAGTCCAGATTCATCGAATTCCCTTATTATTATTATTATTATTATTAGTAGTAGTAGTAGTAGTACCAGTACCCTAATCCTCCTCCAGTAGTTGGAGAGGCTACAGAAATATAGGGAGGGTGTTGATCCATCTGATTTGCTTAAGAGACGTCTGGATACTGTGTATCAGGATTTTGTGGCCATTTACACAGATGGTTCAGAAGACCTAAGGACAGGACGTACTGGGTCAGCATTTGTAGTGCAGGAATGTGGGGTGGAAGTCAGGAAACGTATTACAGATAATCTGGCTGTATATATACGGCGGAGCTGATGGCCATACTGTTGGCCTTGCAGTGGGTGGAGGAAGTCAAACAAGACAGAGTAGTTATTAACTCTGATTCATGTGCAGTGTTAATGAGTCTCCAGTCCTTTAGCTCACGTAACAGACAATACCTGCTTTATGAGGTGCTACAAACCCATGGCAGGTTGAAAAAAAAAAAAAATGCACTCACTAACTGTAAGTCGCTCTGGATAAGAGCATCTGCTAAATGACTAAAATGTAAATGTAAATGATTAAACAGATGGGTATTCAGATAATATTTACTTGGGTTCCAGTCCATGTGGGGGTGGAGGGGAACGAGGCAGTAGATGAACTGGCTAAACAAGCACTTAGTAGTGGGGAAGTTGATGTTTAAGTTTCAATGAGCAAGGCAGAGGCAAAAATACTGATATATACAGTGATGGTGCAGAGATGGCAGGAGCAGTGGAGTAGAGATAATAAGGGAAGGCATTTATTTCAAGTACAGACGAAAGTCGGGGAGGGGAGGACGGCAGGAAATGACAGAAGAGAGGAGGTTATTTTTTACAAGATTAAGGGTGGGACACAGCCAGTTGAATAAGACATTAAATGTGATAGGAAAGCATCCAACAGGAAAGTGTGATTACTGTCAGGAAACAGAGACCGTGAAGCATGTATTGCTACAGTGTGGGCAGGATCAGAGGGAAAGAGAGAGGATGAGATCTAGTATGAGGGAGAAGGGGATACAGGAAATGAGTTGAAAAAGTATATTGACTAGAACGTCATTAGAGGCAGGTAGGATTTAGTTCATCCCTGTCTCTGGCCTACACTCCAGTACAGTAGGTGGCGGCAATGCACCATAACGTTGGATGCCAACCGCCGATAGACCCCACTGAAGAATAAGAATAAGAATAAGAAGAATACCCTAATTACGTGATGACGTTAGAGACGCCCACCACCGGCGTAATGTAGTCAGTCGTGTTTAAAAAAAAAAAAAAAAAAAACTGAAGCAGGAGAAAGCGCCGAAATGGAGGCCGGCGTAGGTGGCTAAACACGAGAAGTGACAAACCGATACATTTTCAATAAACTTTGAGGCGCTTATGATTCTCAAAAAGAGTATCTCTGAGAAGAATCTAGTTATCCATAGCTAGATAACTCTGCATTGGATATTGTTGGTGAGTTTCTAAGCATCGCGTTGTTGTTGTAAAGACTACTTCCACCGGGCGCCATTTAATTACGTTGTCAAGTCAGGAACAAAACATCGATTTGAAGAGGAACGGATTGTGATGTCTATTTTCGTGTTAGACACAAACCTTGAAATAGCTTACTGTCTATCCATACACCGTAAACTAATCCCTTAATAGTTTGGCAGCTAGCTAACGTTTTTCTTTGTTATTCATATTGACCTACGTTAGCGTGTTAGCTAAGCGTTAGCTAGCAAGCGTTAACGTTAGCTGGCTAGCAGCCACCACCTCGTCCATTTCAAAGGCTAGTAATGGCTTGTTGACATCAACTTAACTAGTTACCTAACTTTAGGCATAGTTTCCCCCACATAAAATACAGTTGGGGTCATAACTATTGCAGTTGGTCAACAACTTGGATAACAATCCAACCAGCCAGTGTAACTTCACGTTAACTTAGCTAATCAGCCGCGCACTGGTTGCCAGGATCTGTGCGCTAGCTAGCATTAGCTGGTTAGCTAATTAGCATAGAAACCTCTGGTTAGCTAACTAGCATAGAAACCTCGTGTGCTGCTGGATAACGTTACCGTGGCAAGAAATTCAGACTCCCATAGAACTGCAACAGTAGCTAGATAGCTTAAACATTTAGCTAGCTGTCTTAGTAGCTAATAGCTAACCAACCTTAGTTAACTACCGGTAGTTAGCTACCTCTCTGACTCTGGACATAATAACATTGCGGGTAACGTTAGTTAGCTAATCAGTTAGCCTAGAAGTTGACTCCAGATAGCTAGCTACCTCCCAACGACGCTGGCTTTGGACCCGGGCTAGGGGTACAAATAAAGTTGTTTGAATAGTTGCATATGTTGCCCTCACTAGGTAGCTAGTTAGTTACTTTTCTCAATTAAACTGCTTTATAACTTACTTTTGGACATAAGTGGAAGTTGTCAATTGTACAAATCCAACAAGGAACAATTGCACACAGTGTAGCACACCGAATCACTGCATATTTCCTCACTAGTGTCCTGGTTATAATGGTCTGTCCTAATGCACAAAATAAAGTGGATTTTATTATGGCCACATGTTGGGGAAATGTATTGAAGAGAATGATGACATGAGAAATTGTCAATTGTAGCTTATTTGAAATGAGTCATTTTGTGAAGTTTCTGAGCCTAATGTTAGATAAAAAGGTATTACTGTCAGTGGGTTCTGTGTTTTTATTACCACATTATGTAAAATGTCTGTTTACTCATTTAGTTATTTACATGTGAAAGTGTAATGAAATGCACTTTGATTAGCCTTGATACAGTTTGTTTGTTCTTTATGCAAGGCAACTCTTAACTGTGTTCATTCATTGTCATGCCAAACATGTTTCATGCCAAACATGTATGACATTGATGAAGGAGTTGGCTACAGTATGGGACCAGAGCGTTTTGGAATATTGCTTCATTGTCCATTTATTATAAGTGGTCCCACTCTTCGATACACATATCTTAGTGTCGCTTCTAGTTGTAGGATGTGTTTGTGTTTTAATGGTGGCTGGTCTTTTTCCTTTATGTAAAGCCAGCCTTATTACTATGCTGCATGTAGAGGGCAGCAGGGAGTGTTTTCTTTGACGTCATTGAGATGTTTTCTACAAATGTGTGTACAATGCTGAATGTTGTTGCTATAGTAGGCCTATAGATAGATTTGCCTAAACTGAGTTTGCTCAAAGTTCACCCAGGTACTGCTTACATGCGCATACATGAATGTCATGACTGACTGTTGCATTGCTGTTTTGAATTGTGCTCATGGCAGGCTTGCTGTACACCTGTGTTCACCATAGGTTCAATGTACAGCTGAATAAGCTTGTGCACGATAGTATGACAGAACAAAGTTTAAATGTAACATATAATTGATGCTTGCAAGATGGTATGACTGAAGCCATGTTTTTTTTTTGTTTCCTGTGTCTTTTGTTATGAAAGACGGGCAAAGGAAGTCTGGAAACCTGTTGCAACAACACCCCTTTTGCCACTCATTAATTTAGACTTGCCCATATTTGCAAGCTCACCAATCTAGAACTCCTCTGAACTGATTTACATGTCAAGCAAGTAAATGTTGTGTCTTTGTAATCACATAGGCCTAATTGGTAGAAGTTGCCCGTCACTGCTGGTTCAGGATTATGTTTTTATTGACCTAAATAGTAGGGCTGTGAAGATACCAGTATCGCAATATTGTTACTTTTTCCATGGCAAAAGTGAAAACACGAAGCAGACCTAACTCTTTGATTCTTTAAAAACCTGCGGTATGTAAAATACTGTGCTATAGCTTGGAAAATAAATAAATGTGACTCTGGATGACAACATAATGATGTTTGTTTCCAACATTAGGGCTGCTTTCCTAAATAAGTTTAAATCTACTTCGTGTTTGTTTTCTTGCCACGGTACTAACGAGTATCAAATCAAATTTTATTGGTCACATGCGCCGAATACAACAGGTGCAGACATTACAGTGAAATGCTTACTTACAGCCCTTAACCAACAGTGCATTTATTTTAAACAAAAAAGTATAAAATAAAACAACAACAAAAAAAGTGTTGAGAAAAAAAAGAGCAGAAGTAAAATAAAGTGACAGTAGGGAGGCTATATATACAGGGGGGTGCCGTTGCAGAGTCAATGTGCGGGGGCACCGGCTAGTTGAGGTAGTTGAGGTAATATGTACATGTGGGTAGAGTTAAAGTGACTATGCATAAATACTTAACAGAGTAGCAGCAGCGTAAAAAGGATGGGGTGGAGGGGCAGTGCAAATAGTCCGGGTAGCCATAATTAGCTTTTCAGGAGTCTTATGGCTTGGGGGTAGAAGCTGTTGAGAAGTCTTTTGGACCTAGACTTGAGAGAACAGTCTATGACTAGGGTGGCTGGAATCTTTGACAATTTTGAGGGCCTTCATGATACTGGTATCATCCCGGCCCTACTAAATAGGCCTAATTAAGGTTGTTAGGATTTGGGGTTGGATAGTCCGATCCTAGATTTGTCTAGGACTGTGATCACTACCCACCTGTGGTGTACGTTCTCAGTTTCAGATGTGCCTGTCCAGTCAGGGGAGGTGTCATGTCTTATTGTTATTTGAAAAGACAGAACTCTGCAATTAGACAGCATCTACTTATGAGTTGACTGTTCTGAGAAATGTATATTGTGGGTGTTTGTGGTGATAAAGCTTCTTGGTAGAGAAATGTTGCAAATTAATGCCTGATCAGTTACATGGGCCGAAGCTGAATTTGTCATCTGTAGTTACAGTATAATTAATCTTCTAAATAATGGCTGCACAAACCTGTTAGACCCAATTAGCTGAGATGACTTTTGTGCCCTTTCAAAATAGATTTAGTATGGATATTTTGAAGAAGCACTGCCCAAGTATTTTGTGAGAATACTGCATTGTTTAGCATCTTATCTCTGTACTCATGACAGATTTACTTTTCAACTGCCTCTCACCTCCACCCCCCTCTTCCATCTCTCCCCAGGTTTAGAGGAGCAGCAGATTGACCATGGCGACGGACACCAGCTCCCCGCCACGGTTCTTCCACATGCCGCGGTTCCAGCACCAGGCGCCACGGCAGCTCTTCTACAAGCGGCCCGACTTCGCCCAGCAGCAGGCCATGCAGCAGCTCACCTTCGACGGCAAGCGCATGCGTAAGGCTGTCAACCGCAAGACCATTGACTACAACCCCTCGGTCATCAGACACCTGGAGGTAATGGACGTGAGATGAAGCATCAGTTTTATTTTTATTTTGTGATCAAACTTTTGAGTTCTCTGGTGGCCCACTCAATGAACACATTTTTTCCAGCCACCACAGCACAGTCTGTTTCTAAAGAAACTGGACTTTGTGCACAGAGTAATGGCATTGCATTGGATAGCAGCCCAAGGCTCAACATTAACAGTTGTCCTATTTTCCAAGACAAGTAAAAAAATAAAAAATAACAAGCAAACAAGAAGAATATAGATTTAATTTGTCTGAATGGACAAGTAAAAAAATAAAAACTTTATTCCGATCAGAGGCCAACATTGGAATAATATTCATCCATTTTTCGTGTAGGCCTACATAAATAAAAAAAAGCCTGCATGTTGAAGTGTAGGTAATATGCAGGTGATATTGGCTTATAGCCTCATGTCCAAACCGATGCTGACATGAGGGAGGTGGCAGAAAATGTAGCCAAACTTTAATAAGACTTTTAATTACGTAAATGTAGACTAAACGCCGGTCATGTTTGACAAATATAATGAAAGATCGAATCCTACTACACCGGCTCTGACACTCGTCAGATGTGGCAGGGCTTGCAAACTATCACAAATTACAAAGGGAAACTCAGCCACGAGCTGCCCAATGACGTGAACCTACCAGAAGAGCTGAATGCCTTCTATGCTCGCTTCGAGGCAAACACTGAACCATGCATGAGAGCACCAGCTGTTCCAGGCGACTGTGATCATGCTGTCCGTAGCCGATGTTAGTCAGACCTTTAAACAGGATAACATTCACAAGGCCGCAGGGCCAGACGGATTACCAGGACATGTACTTGGAGCGTGCGCTGACCAGCTGGCAAGTGTCTTCACTGACGTTTCTCTTCCTCAATAGTGTGCAGCGAATTTTACTAGATGAAAAGCCGAAATGAGTATGATATCCTGGCATTTAAAGCATACTACATTTCCGAAATGTTACATATTATAAAGCTTAATTTTTGCGCATGCCTAAAATGACTACCTTTTAGAATGCAAGTATGGGTATTCGGACATGGCCAGTTTCTAATATCCACACGCAGACATGACCATGAGCGCAGAGAGCTGTACTTGAGCACTCACTCCCACGTATGTACAGTGCATTTGGAAAGTATTCAGATCCCTTTACTTTTTCCACATTTTGTTACGTTACAGCCTTATTAAACAATTTATTAAATTATTATATTGCATTTACATAAGTATTCAGACCCTTTACTCAGTACTTTGTTGAAGCACCTTTGGCAGCGATTACAGCCTTGAGTCTACTTGGGTATGACGCTTCAAGCTTGGCACACCTGTACTTCGGAAGTTTCTCCTATTCTTCTCTGCAGATCCTCTCAAGCTCTGTCAGGTTGGATGGGGAGCGTCGCTGCACAGCTATTTTCTGGTCTGTCCAGAGATGTTCAAGTCTGGGCTCTGGCTGGGATACTCAAGGACATTCAGAGTTGTCCTGAAGCAACTCGTGCGTTGTCTTGTCTGTGTGCTTAGGGTCGTTGTCCTGTTGGAAGGTGAACCTTCACCCCAGTCTGAGGTCCTGAGCGCTCTGGAGCAGGTTTTCATCAAGGATCGCTCTGTACTTTGTTCCGTTCATCTTTTCCTCGATCTTGACTAGTCACCCAGTCCCTGCCGCTGAAAAACATCCACACAGCATGCCACCACCATGCTTAACCGTAGGAATGGTGCCAGGTTTCCTCCAGACGTGCCGCTTGGCATTGAGTTGAATCTTGGTTTCATCAGACCAGAGAATCTTGTTTCTCATGGTCTGAGAGTCCTATAGGTGCCTTTTGGCAAACCAAGCGGGCTGTCATGTGCCTTTTACTGAGGAGTAGCTTCCATCTGACCACTCTACTACCATAAAGGCCTGATTTGTTGGAGTGCTGCAGAGATGATTGTCCTTCTGGAAGGTTCTCCCATCTCCACAGAGGAATTCTGGAGCTCTGTCAGACTGACCAGTGGGTTCTTGGTCACCTCCCTGACCAAGTCCCTTCTCCCCCGATTGCTCAGTTTGGCCAGGCGGCTAGCTCTAGGAAGAGTCTTGGTGGTTCCAAACTTCTTCCATTTAAGAATGATGGAGGCCACTGTTCTTGGGGACCTTCAATGCTGCAGACATTTTTTGGTACCCTTCCCCAGATCTGTGCCTCGACACAATCCTGTCTCGGCGCTCTACGGACAATTGCTTTGACCTCATGGCTTGGTTTTTGTTGTGACATGCACTGTCAACTGTGGGACCTGATATAGACAGGTGTGTCTTTCCAAATAATGTCCATTCAATTGAATTTACCAATCAAGTTATAAAAACATCTCAAGGATGATCAATGGGAACAGGATGCACCTGAGCTCAATTTCGAGTCTCATAGCAAGGAGTCTGAATACTTATGTAAATAAGATATTTCTGTGTTATTTTTAATGCATTTGAAAAAATGTCTAAACCTGATTTCGCTTTGTCATTATGAGGTAGTGTGTGTAGATTGATGAGACATTTTTTATTTAATCCATTGTAGAATAAGGCTGTAACGTAACAAAATGTGAAAAAGGTCTAGGGGTCTGAATATTTTCTGAATGCATTGTATTTGGCTGAAATGTATGTGAATGCAAAGACCTTTGTCCCTTTTTTCATGGTTCCTTAAATGCTTTCTTTTTCTTGACTGCAGAATCGCTTGTGGCAGCGAGACCACAGAGATTTCCGTGCCATCCAACCAGATGCAGGATGCTACAATGATGTAAGTATGGACAGATACTAGGCTTATATGATTTACAATTAAAACAGTGATTTTGACCTTCTGTTGTCCGTGAGCCAGTAAGAAAATATGTTATCAATGAATCCGTGTCAGGGTGTTAGCAAGTCCCTCTTCCTGGCTAGATTTGATGTATTTTGTACCCATTTTTAGACAATATGCTGAAATGTCTCTTTTTTTCTCTCATCTCCCTTTATTCCTCTGGCTCTTGTAGCTGGTTCCTCCTGTGGGCATCTTGAGTAACCCCATGAACGCAGTAACCACAAAGTTTGTCCGAACCTCCACAAACAAAGTAAAGTGCCCCGTCTTTGTCATAAGGGTAAGTCTCTCCTCACACACTTTCCTCATTTGTTCAGGGCAGATTACTTGTATCACTCTGAGACCATGTGAAGCCCATAGTGCATGGGTATCACTCAATTCCTGGAGGGCTGTGTGTCGTCTGGTTTTTGTTATTCCATTTTGTGTCCAATGAAGACCGAGACAACCAGGTGAAGGGATTTCCTAACTAATCACTAGACAAGTTTCCATTGAACCGGGTTTATTCGATGAAAGCAAAGTCTCAAAAAACATTGCGAAATGTGAAATGGAAAAGGCAGCTATAGGAGAAATTATAGGAGAAATGTTCTAAAGATGGGCAAAGTTTGTATCTGTTAGACGGATGGATTTTCTTTTGTCTAACTTTCTTTATTGCGACAAATGATGGAAAGTGTTTTTCTAAATAAATGATGGCAGAATAATTTTGAAGGTATTTGAAGATACGCGTGTATCTATAAAGCGCAAATCACATTTACGTAAGTATTCAGACCATTTACTCAGTACTTTGTTGAAGCACCTTTGGCAGCGATTACAGTCTCAAATCTTCTTGGGTGTGACTCAAGAAGCTTGGCACACCTGTATTTGGGGAGTTTCTCCCACTCTTCTCTACAGATCCTCTCAAGCTCTGTCAGGTTGGATGGGGAGCGTTGCTGCACAGCTATTTTCAGGTCTCTCCAGAGATGTTTTATCAGGTTAATGTCTGGGCTCTGGCTGGGCCACTCAAGGACATTCAGAGACTTGTCCCGAAGCCACTCCTGCGTAGTCTTGGCTGTGTGCTTAAGGTCGTTGTCCTGTTGGAAGGTGAACCTTCGCCCCAGTCTGAGGTCCTGAGCGATCTGGAGCAGGTTTTCATCAAGGATCTCTCTGTACTTCACTCCGTTCATCTTTCCCTTGATCTTGACTAGTGTCCCAGTCCCTGCCGCTGAAAAACCTCCCCACAGCATGATGCTGCCACCACCATGCTTCACCGTAGAGATGGTGCCAGGTTTCCTCCAGACGTGACGCTTGGCATTCAGGCCAAAGAGTTCAATCTAATCTTGGTTTCATCTGACCAGAGAATCTTGTTTCTCATTGTCAGAGTCCTTTCGGTGCCTTTTGGCAAACTCCACGCGGGCAGTCATGTGCCTTTTTATTGAGGAGTGGCTTCCGTCTGGCCACTCTACCATAATCTGATTAGTGGAGTGCTATAGAGATGGTTGTTCTCCCATCTCCACAGAGGAACTCTGGAGCTTTGTCAGAGTGACCATTGGGTTCTTGGTCACCTCCCTGACCAAGTCCCTTCTCCCCCGATTGCTCAGTTTGGCCAAGCGGCCAGCTCTAGGAAGAATCTAGGTGGTTCCAAACTTCTTCCATTTCAGAATGATGGAGGCCACTGTGTTCTTGGACCCCTTCAATGCTGCAGAAATGTTCTGGTACCGTACTGTAACGTAACAAAAAGGGAAGGGGTCTGAATACTTTCCGAATGCACTGTAGAGCTTGATTTATAAGAGAAAAACAAAACCATTTCTCTAAATATGCTTTGTTGCACAATTAAACATCAATACACTACATTTCAAACAATCTGGAATAATCTAATGAAGGCTTGTAAAATTATACGTAGGCTAAATATAAGCCTTGAACCATAACACCCACTAATCATTTAATTATTTGATCAATATAGTTTAACCTGCTTTTTTTCAATAATCACTGATCTGGCTTTCAAGTCTGTCTACGAAAATGCCCTTTTTACAAATGTAAATGGAACCGTGCACATTGCACATCCACTAATAATGACCAACTTCTGGTAGCAGGCATTTTAGAAAACGTATACAGGTCTCATAAACAATCTCTCAAGCACAAGCCCACTGCTAGTGAGTAGCCAGCTAATCTTTATACACTGCTCAAAAAAATAAAGGGAACACTAAAATAACACATCCTAGATCTGAATGAATGAAATAATCTTATTAAATACTTTTTTCTTTACATAGTTGAATGTGCTGACAACAAAATCACACAAAAATTATCAATGGAAATCAAATGTATCTGGATTTGGAGTCACCCTCAAAATTAAAGTGGAAAACCACACTACAGGCTGATCCAACTTTGATGTAATGTCCTTAAAACAAGTCAAAATGAGGCTCAGTAGTGTGTGGCCTCCACGTGCCTGTATGACCTCCCTACAACGCCTGGGCATGCTCCTGATGAGGTGGCGGATGGTCTCCTGAGGGATCTCCTCCCAGACCTGGACTAAAGGATCCGCCAACTCCTGGACAGTCTGTGGTGCAACGTGGCGTTGGTGGATGGAGCGAGACATGATGTCCCAGATGTGCTCAATTGGATTCAGGTCTGGGGAACTGGCGGGCCAGTCCATAGCATCAATGCCTTCCTCTTGCAGGAACTGCTGACACACTCCAGCCACATGAGGTCTAGCATTCTTGCATTAGGAGGAACCCAGGGCCAACCGCACCAGCATATGGTCTCACAAGAGGTCTGAGGATCTCATCTCGGTACCTAATGGCAGTCAGGCTACCTCTGGCGAGCACATGGAGGGCTGTGCGGCCCCCCAAAGAAATGCCACGCCCACCATGACTGACCCACCGCCAAGAAGACGAGCACAGGGCGCCAGTGGCGAATTTGCCAATCTTGGTGTTCTCTGGCAAATGCCAAACATCCTGCACGGTGTTGGGCTGTGAGCACAACCCCCACCTGTGGACGTCGGGCCCTCATACCACCCTCATGGAGTCTGTTTCTGACCGTTTGAGCAGACACATGCACATTTGTGGCCTGCTGGGGGTCATTTTGCAGGGCTCTGGCAGTGCTCCTCCTTGCACAAAGGCGGAGGTAGCGGTCCTGCTGCTGGGTTGTTGCCCTCCTACGGCCTCCTCCACGTCTCCTGATGTACTGGCCTGTCTCCTGGTAGCGCCTCCATGCTCTGGACACTACGCTGACAGACACAGCAAACCTTCTTGCCACAGCTCGCATTGATGTGCCATCCTGGATGAGCTGCACTACCTGAGCCACTTGTGTGGGTTGTAGACTCCGTCTCATGCTACCACTAGAGTGAAAGCACCGCCAGCATTCAAAAGTGACCAAAACATCAGCCAGGAAGCATAGGAACTGAGAAGTGGTCTGTGGTCACCACCTGCAAAACCAGTCCTTTATTGGGGGTGTCTTGCTAATTGCCTATAATTTCCACCTGTTGTCTATTCTATTTGCACAACAGCATGTGAAATTTGTCAATATGTGTTGCTTCCTAAGTGGACAGTTTGATTTCACAGAAGTGTGATTGACTTGGAGTTACATTGTGTTGTTTAAGTGTTCCCTTTATTTTTTTAAGCAGTGTATTTAAAGTCTTGCCAACTTGGATCTATTTGCTTGCTCAAAAGGTAGAACAGTTGAACTGTTATGAATACACCCTCCTGTTCGTCTCCAACTGTTTGAACAACACAGCCTGTTCACTTTGTTTAGATGTTGAAATCAAGTGGCCAAGCTACCTGGAGAAGAAGATGCTTATTTCTCAGAATGTGAACGAGTTGCTAATCCCGTATACAAATGCATTTTTTTATGCTCATTGTACATTTGTAAAACACAGACTATACAGCTAGCATAAGTCTGTGGCTATAATGCTGCTAGTGATACGTGGTGCCAAATGCGACAAACTGAGCATTCATTTTCCTCAATCATGTTAATTCTTGATACTCCCGTCTTAGTAGGGACTGCTCTGTTCTAAATGTTGGGAGTTGAGACATAAAAAGGGTATCGTTACAAAGGTTACGTTCTCCTCTATTACATGTTGGGACATACCTTAAATGCAAATAGCAAGTTGAAACTGCTTGTTGTCAGAGAGGAAGAAGTGATTTTCCGTCTCTTTTTTTTGTGAGTGGCAGGGGGAGGGGCTTAGTGTCTGTGTGTGAGTGGTAAGGTGCACAGAAGGAGCGATGGAAACCAGACCAAAAAGACAAAGACTTATACCTTGATTCTTGCGATACAGGCATTTGGAACATCATGCTAAAACATACATTCAAATTAATCAAATTAATTTGATATATCACCCAGCCCTACTTACAATTATTTCAGAAGAACAGGAGGGCAAGTTTTACCATAGCACGGACCGTGGCGATATGTTGTCACATGAGAATGATTAGAATATGGCAAATATTAGTCAATTCTTGCATTCTAGGGGGGGGGGGTGTCATTACATCCAACTGTTTTTATCGACAACAGTTACATGGAAATGCACCGTAGCAGCCAATTGTTGCATCTATTTTATATGCCAACTTTTTAATGTTGCCAAAAAATCGACAATACTTTGGACAAGTTTATGGAAACATAGCTCATGCCCTTAATTGGTCAATCAAGTACATGGGACGAGCCAAAACCCACACACTCGGCCCACCAGGAATTGAGTTTTCTGCAGAATATAAACCGGCACTTCAGAAGGTGATTACTAAGTTCAGTCTCACTTATCTATTTTTGTTCCATTTTTCATTACCCCTTTAATTTATCCAACTGTTCCTCCCTTTCTCTCCTCGTCTCCTCCATCCCTCTCCCTCGTTCATAGTGGACTCCTGAGGGGAGGCGACTTGTCACAGGAGCCTCCAGTGGGGAGTTCACCTTGTGGAACGGACTCACCTTCAACTTTGAGACCATCTTACAGGTAAAAATTGAATCCACCCTCCTACAACACTTTACAATGAACTTAAAAATTCAGAGATGTTTTTGTTGTTGTTGAAAGGTGTATTCAGCCGGCGGAGCCAAAGGTTATGGTTAGGCATGGGTTTGGAACCACAAGAAATGCGGCGGTTGTATATCCACTGTCTTCTAGCCCCTGTGTTTTTGGTCCTGGTGCTTTCTCTGACGCTACGTCTGTCTCTCCTCTACTCCCCTCAGGCCCATGACAGCCCCGTGCGGGCCATGACCTGGTCTCACAACGACATGTGGATGCTGACGGCCGACCACGGCGGCTACGTCAAGTACTGGCAGTCCAACATGAACAACGTCAAGATGTTCCAGGCTCACAAGGAGGCGATTAGAGAGGCCAGGTCTATACACAATCTACCATTTTCTGTAGTTAACCCCAGCCTATTACTGTTGTTATTGCTGTTTCCCCTGAAAATGATTGATAAATGTACGTCTGTGCTGTCGCAACACTGCACTGATCTTTTTTATATTTCTCTTATTGCCTGTGGCTCATGATGAGTTGTGTATCTTGATTTTTTCTATACATAACTACTATGTACAGAAAAGGTTGATTTTCACGGTCTTGTTAAATAAAGTGTTGATCTATATCTATACTCAAAAGGTATTGACGCACGTTAAGACTACTGGTTTGCATAGATGAGCCCAGAGGGACAGAGTTATACCGAATAAAGTGGAGAGGTTGCACCTGATGTTGGGACATAGGGAGGTTTGAATGTGGCGCACTTCCACAAGGGGGCAGTATTATCCCTCTTATGGACCTTTGGGGAAGGCGTCTCACACACACATAAGGTCACTCCATCCACACACTTTGCCACGGTCCCGTGGTTGGTTTGAAGTTTTTTGAGATGTAGGCAAACGCATGTCTACAATTCCCACCTTTTGGATCCACCAATATTGCCACCCCCATGTTGTCCGCCGTTGAGTTTATCCCAGTGACAAAACCCACATCCACAAGTGACCCCATAGCTTCTTGAATAAAGATAATTTCTGTTGAACACACAACCAAATTGCCTCTGGGGTTAGAGTAGTTGGCTATTACCCTTCACTTTGAATTTCCACGCAACCCACAAGGTCGCTTTGACCACCCACCTTCCCATCACCCCAATTTCCCTGGTATATTGAAAGTTAAAGATGCACTATGCAGAAATCGCTCCACCATTGCCTCGTTGCTAAAGATTCTAATAGTTTGCTTAATTGCAGTTTGTGACAAAACAAGCAAGTATAGTGTAGAGAATCATTGTACCATCTAAACCGCTGTGAAATATTGCATTTTCAGCTGTTTGAAGCTTGTGTACAAAACCGAAAGTAAAAGATGCAAAAACTAAACTTAAGAACGGGAAGCATAGAGATGGCACACGTTGAACAAATCTACCGCTTCTTAGACTTGCTTTCAATGAGTGACAGATCTATAACACACTTTTCTATGTGCATTTGGTTGGGTCGCCCAAAAAGTTACATATTGCAGCTTTAATATCTAAATTGAATGGGGCAGTGGAGTTAGAGATATTATTTAATAAAAGGTTGCCATTGTGTATATTTCTACCTTTGGTGGTGGTTGCCTTCATGGAGCTTTACGAAAATATTCAATAAAGATCATGAATAGGGTTTTATGCTGGGTTTACCTCGTGACCTGTAACATAACTTAAAGCTTCACTCTTGAATACATAACTTCTCAATGCCACAACTTATTTTCTTTGACTGTTAATGTTTGAGGGGCACTTTTACTGTCTTGTTGTTAATATTTAACGTGCATTGAATCTCCAGGACCAATTGAAAATGAAGCATCTTAGGGCTGTGGCGTAGCGTGTGTATGCACGCATTACTGTAAGTCGCTTTGGATAAAAGCGTCTGCTAAATGGCATATTATTATTATTATTATTATATTATATTATTATAGCCCTGGGAAAATTATGACAGGAGGAAAAGGGCACTGACATCATACAAGCATTGATGGCTGTGCTCCAAAACTGAAGATTGCAATTAGGGAACTAGTCAAGAAGTTCCTCAGGTGTCTCTTGTGTCAGGTGTAGGCTGTCTTTGCTGTTGGTATGAGTCACATTTGGGCCTAGTACGTTAGTTCATCACTACATTACAACTGTTGCGTCAACTACAGACAGAAACATATTATCTGATTGACTAACAGGAATGCACTACCTCATGATGCTGTAAAAAAAATAATATAAGTTTGTCTGTTTTCAGACCTAGGCCTAAGCTCTGCAAATCTGGAAATGATATAGTGCCGCTGCCTATCATTTCCATCATTTTGTAAAGTGTATATTGCTTGATCTATAAAACAGATCACCTTTGACATATCTCAACAGAAGTCCACTTTTGGTCAAATACTACGGCTCTGTAATCTCACCCTAGACAGCCCAGTTACATTTTCCCCTAGCTTCTACTTCTTTGTGTGCACAAATTGGATTAGTTAATGCATTATGGCCAACGTTTCACAAGGTCTAGTGGAGGGCAAGGCTGAGCTTTCGCCATATTGGCTTCACCTTTCTGATCACCTCAGTCTGTAAACACTGAAGGGAATAGGAATAGCAATGGGACTGGCCAAGAGTTGTTGAAGATTATGAATGGCTTGCAGATATTGTGTATGTTAAGAAAGGCAGGTTTAGATTTAGTTTTTAGCTGGCTTGCTTACTGTTGCTTTAGTGTAAGGCCAAGACAAATGCAGTTATTGTAGGTATTGGTAATTTGAGTATAGATGGTAATGCTTGTGTAAACTGAGAAAGATGAATTTAACTTGGGTTTACGTCTAGTGTGAAGATTGCTTTTGGGTTACAGTTTAGACCTGATTGTGTCTTTTTTTAAAAATAAATAAATGGTTATACAGGTGTACACTACATGACCAAAAGTATGTGGACACATGCTTGTCGAACGTCTCATTCCAAAATCAGGGGCATTAATATGGAATTGGCCCCCCCTTTGCTGCTATAACAGCCTCCCCTCTTCTGGGAAGGCTTTCCACTAGATTTTGGAACATTGCTGCGGGTACTTGCTTCCATTCAGCCACAAGAGCATTAGTGAGGTCGGACACTGATGTCGGACGATTAGGCCTGGCTCGCAGTCGGCATTCCAATTAATCCCAAAGGTGTTCGATGGGGTTGAGGTCAGGGCTCTGTGCAGGCCAGTCAAGTTCTTCCACACCGATCTCGACAAACAATTTCTGTATGGACCTTGCTTTGTGCACGAGGGCATTGTCATGCTGAAACAGGAAAGGGCCTTCCCAAAACTGTTGCCACAAAGTTTGTGGCAACAGTTGTCTAGAATGTAATTGTATACTGTAGTGTTAAGATTTCCCTTCACTGGAACTAAGGAGCCTAGGCCAAACCATGGAAAAACATCCCCAGACCATTATTCCTCCACCAAACTTTACAGTTGGCACTTTGCGTTGGGGCAGGTAGCGTTCTCCTGGCATCTGCCAAACCCAGATTTGTCCGTCGACTGCCAGATGGTGAAGTGTGAATCATCACTCCAGAGAAGGCGTTTCCACTGCTCCGGAGTCCAATGGCGGCAAGCTTTACACCACTCCAGCCGACGCTTGGCATTGCACATGGTGTTCTTAGGCTTGTGTACGGCTGCTCGGCCATGGAAACCCATTTCATGAAGTTCCCGATGAACAGTTATTGTGCTGACGTTGGTTCCAGAGGCAGTTTGGAACTCGGTAGTGAGTGTTGCAAACGAGGACAGACTATTTTTACGCGCTTCAGCGCTCGGCTTTCCCGTTCTGTGAGCTTGTGTGGCCTACCGCTTCGCAGCTGATCTGTTGTTGCAAATCAATCCCAGAACAACAGCAAAGGACCTTGTGAAGATGCTGGAGGAAACAGATACAAAAGTATTTGTATCCACAGTAAAACGAGTCCTATATCGACATAACCTGAAAGGCTGCTCGGCAAGGAAGAAGCCACTGCTCCAAAACCGCCATAGAAAAGCCAGACTACTGTTTGCAACTGCACATGGGGACAAAGATCGTACTTTTTGGAGAAATGTCCTCTTTTCTGATGAAACAAAAATAGAACTGTTTGGCCATAATGAACATCGTTATGTTTGGAGGGAAAAAGGGAGGTTGCTTGCAAGCCGAAGAACACCATTCCAACCGTGAAGCACAGGGGTGGCAGCATCATGCTGTGGGGGTGCTTTGCTACAGGAGGGACTGGTGCACTTCACAAAATAGATGGCATCATGAGGAAGGAAATGATGTGGATATATTGAAGCAACTCAAGACGTCAGTCAGGAAGTTAAAGCTTGGTCGCAAATGGGTCTTCCAAATGGACTGACCCCAAGCATACTTCCAATGTCGTGGCAAAATGGCTTAAGGACAACAAAGTAAAGGTATTGGAGTGGCCATCACAAAGCCCTGACCTCAATCCTATAGACAATTTGTGGGCAGAACTGAAAAGGCGTGTGCGAGCAAGGAGACCTACAAACCTCCTTGAAAATGTATGCACTCACTAACTGTAAGTCGCTTTGGATAAGAGCGTCTGCTAAATGACTTAAATGTAAATGTTGCTCCCAGACATTCCCACTTCACAATAACAGCACTTACAGTTAACCGGGGCAGCCCTAGCAGGTCAGAAATGTGACGAACTGACTTGTTGGAAAGGTGGCATCCAATGACGGTGCCACGTTGAATGTCACTGAGCTCTTCAATGTTTGTCTATGGAGATTGCATGGCGGTGTGCTCGATTTTATGCACCTGTCAGCAACGGGTGTGGCTGAAATAGCTGAATCCGCTAATTTGAAGGGGTGTCCACATACTTTTGTATATATAATGTAGGTGTAGTTACGTTTTGGGTAGATACGTTCTAGTGTAATGACTCAACGTGTTAGTTGTGGGGCAAGACTGTTTGTTGAATGAGATAGTATTTGTCTTGAGTTTCCGTCACTGGTCAGGTCAAGTTTTGTGAATTTTGTTAAATGCCAAAACACAGCTAGAGGGTGAGGTTGCTGTTGTGCCCAGGAAATGCCCCCTAAGTGGTTGTACTGTACTAAGTTGTACTAGGATTTGACCCTGTTGTAAACCCTGGGAGCCCAACTGTGTCTTCCTGCATTGTTGATTGTCTTCCTGCCTCACTCTGTCTTCAGTTTCTCACCTACGGATAATAAATTTGCCACTTGCTCTGACGACGGAACCGTACGCATCTGGGACTTTCTACGCTGTCACGAGGAGAGAATTCTCAGAGGTATGTTTTCTGTTGAATACACATACAGCTGTACCTAATTGATACACCTCACTGACCACTGACTCACCCCCGAAAACATGTTCCTTTACTGTACCCATAAGTCTGAACCATCCATGAACACAAACCTTTGTGAATGAATAGGTAGGCCTATCCCAACACCAACTAGGCACGTTGCACGAGCATTTAATTGCATCAATTGTATTTTATATAATATAGCTATAAAGGCTAAAGCTAGTTCAGTTTCCAAACATACATGTCGTACATAATGTATTTACATTGTGAGGTTGGTTAGTAAGAGTTATTCTTCCTATAGCTTTTGAATTAGTGATTAGACTTAGGCTCTGCAGTACAAAAGCATTGATGTTCAGCATGCTATCATTAGCATATTTATTTATTTCATGTTTATTATTTTTGATACACCATAATTATGGCGTTCGATAAACCATAGCTAGGTTTTTGAAGCTGCAGTTACAGTTCACACCACTATCTGCAGTAATGAACAGCTGCTTCTTTTCATCTAGCTAGCTAGAAGTGTTTAGTGTTAGGGCAATAATGCTTATGTTGGGCGGTCATCTCCTTTAATATCAGAATTACAAAATGATTCACTTTTAAATCAAAAGGGAATTTAGTATTTTGCACCTTAATGTTAGATGGTTTCTTAATGTTTTCCTTAACATTCCTTTATGTTTGATGGTTCTTCCCCTGAAAGTAGTCTATGGGCCAGGAGAAACTGTAATCCATGGTTTGTTTCTTTTTTTTTAACAGCTACCACTAACTTGAGCTAACTTTTGCCACCGTTAGCTAAAAATCAATGGGAGGAATGGGGCATGCCTGACTCATTAAAAATGTAATGGCCAAATAGCTCAATCATTTGGTTTGACGTTACTTAAAGGTGATTTTTTGTTGTTGCCGGGAACCACATGCGATCACTCCCAGTAGATTTTTAGATAACGATAGCTAAAGTTAGCTGAAGTTTAGTGGCTGTTTAAAGAAACCGTGGATTACATTTTGTACTGGCCCATCGACTACTTTCATGGGGAGGAACCATCTTACATTAAGTTGTGAAATACTGAACTTCCCCTTTTAATGTTTCTTTCAACATCATTACATGCACTAATACAGTACATTCGGAAAGTATTCAGACCCCTTGACTTTTTCCACATTTTGTTACGTTACAGCCTTATTCTAAAATGTATGAAATATTTATTTTTCATCAATCTACACACAATACCCCATAATGACAAAGCGAAAACAGGTTTTTAGAAATGTTTGCAAATGTATTAAAAATAAACAAACACTACCGTTCAAAAGTTTGGTGGTCACTTAGAAATGTCCTTGTTTTTGAAAGAGAAGCATTTTTTTTGTCCATTAAAATAACATCAAAAAGATCAGAAATACATTGTAGACATTGTTAATGTTGTAAATGGCTATTGTAGCTGGAAACGGCTGATTTTTTTATGGAATATCTACATTTATGCTATATAAGGTCCCACAGTTGACAGTGCATGTCAGGTCATAAACCAAGCCATGAGGTCGCAGGAATTGTCCATAGAGCTCCGACAGGATTGTGTCGAGGCACAGATCTGGGGAAGGATAGCAAAAAATGTCTGCAGCATTGAAGGTCCCCAAGAACACAGTGGCCTCCATCATTCTTAAATGGAAGAAGTTTGGAACCACCAACTTCCTAGAGCTGGCTGCCCGGCCAAACTGAGCAATTGGGGGAGAAGGGCCTTGGTCAGGGAGGTGACCAAAAACCCGATGGTCACTCTGACAGAGCTCCAGAGTTCCTCTGTGGAGATGGGAGAACTTTCCAGAAGGACAACCATCTCTCCAGCACTCTAACAATCAGGCCTTTATGGTAGAGGGGCCAGACGGAAGCCACTCCTCAGTAAAAGGCACATGACAGCCCGCTTGGAGTTTGCCAAAAGAAACCTAAAGGACTCTGACTATGAGAAACAAGATTCTCTGGTTTGATGAAACCAAGATTGAGCTCTTTGGCCTGAATGCCAAGCATCATGTCTGGAGGAAACCTGGCTCCATCCCTACGGTGAAGCATGGTGGTGGCAGCATTATGCTGTGGGGAGGTTTTTCAGCGGCAGGGACTGGGAGACTAGTCAGGATCGAGGGAAAGAGGACCGGAGCAAAGTACAGAGATCCTTGATAAAAACCTTCTCCAGATCGCTTAGGACCTCAGACTGGGGAGAAGGTTCACCTTCCAACAGAGCCCGGACTTGAACCCGATCGAACATCTCCGGAGACACCTGAATATAGCTGTGCAGCGAGGCTCCCCATCCAACCTGACAGAGCTTGAGGGGATCTGCAGAGAAGAATGGGAGAAACTTCCCAAATACAGGTGTGCCAAGCTTGTAGCGTCATGTCCAAGAAGACTCAAGGCTGTAATTGCTGCCAAAGGTTCTTCAACAAAGTTCTGAGTAAAGGGTCTGAATGCTTATGTAAATGTCATATTTCAGTTTTTTTATTTTTTATAAATATGCAAACATTTCTAAACACCTGAGTTTGCTTTGTCATTATGGGGTATTGTGTGTAGATTGAGGGGAATAAAAAAAATATATATTTTAGAATAAGGCTGTAATGTAACTGTGGAAGAAGTCAAGGGGTCTGAATACTTTCCGAATGCACTGTAGGTTGAGCAGGATTATTAGTGATGGTATACTATATTCACAGGAACTGGTTTCAGTGCCCCATACTCTTGTATATTAGTGCATCATAAGAGTACACGGTTTGGTGTGTTCTTTTCTGTAGTGTGTCTGTCTTATGTCAGGATCTTGATGGTTCAGCATGATTCACAGTCACGTCAAGACATCAAGTCTTTGTTGCATAAACACCCTAGTCAGGAAAAAAACATTCCTCCTTGATTACATGCTTTGGTTTCTTTTAATAGTTGCTGGGAAGGGATAGCCTGGTTGCCAGTCTCTGTTCAGCTATTACATTCCACTCCTTGTAATTTGTCTTTGGCACATGACACGGAGTACAAGGGGTGGAATGTTAGACTGGTACCCAGACTTTTGAAGGGATTGGGGGTAATTCATTGTAGTGCATGTTTGCATCCTTGTGCAAATTGTAATAAAATGCTTCCAGCCAAGTATGAATAAAGCAAACATCTTGTTAGTTAATATTATGCTAATATTTTCACAGTTGCAGTCTGACAATTTGTATACGTTAACTATTCACAGGCCATGCAGAAAGTTTAGGCCTAATCTGCAATTGGCTTAATTCACAGATTCTGTACCGTGTGTGCAAGTTTACTTGTCGTCTGACTTCGGTTAAGGCCCTTAGGCTTGCTTTTTGCCTTGCAATAAACAAAATAGTTTTTACTGTTCTCATTGAAGAATAATGCATAAATGATCTCTTAGCCTACTTGAAAGCAGTTTGTCTTGCTTCTGTTTTTTGTTGCCTTTCAATAAACTAAACTTTACTGTGCTCATTGAAGAATAAATGCAGAATTGTACTTTTCCTTGAAACCAGTTTGCCTTTTCTTGTTCCTCTAGTAGACACCCTGATATTTTGAATATAAGCTAGTGCATTACCGTTGGTTGACAACAGTTGTTTTGATTTGTGCTATTGAGAAGCCGTATGTGAAGTAAAACTAGAGCTGTGCACGCTATACTCAAAGATTTTGTGCAAATCTTCCATTGATTAGTCTGTGTTGCCTTGAGTGAATTGACTTTAATTGATCTATTTCACTACTCCCTTAGTTTTGTTTCCACTATAAGAAATGGATTGGTGATGCAGCTATCAATTCACCCATTTGTCAAATGTTCTTATACAATTAATGTGCTTTTACAGCAGAGATGCCTTGCTGCACTTCTAGGTAAAAATGTATATAGTACTATATCGTCAAAAGGCAAAATACAGCAGATTTTAACTGAACTGAATGTGTTGTCTGGTGTAGTAAGCGGACCACAAAGCATTTAATGTGTTAAGTGAGCTGGAGTTGATTCAAACATTAACAGTTATGAAGGACTGAGCACACTATTTTCAATGTAACTTGTCTTGCATTTGTATCGTTTTGAGTTAATTTGAGCAGGTTTTTAAAATCTATCAAACTAAGCTAATTGGAATGTGTCAAGCCGGGATTATCTAAGATGTATCTTAGACTGTGAGGATGCTGAATCGCAGGGTATTCAATCTAGTGTATGTGGCCAATTATTCACTTATTTACACACACACACAAGCACTGTCAATCTGCACCCATTAAAGCCAGACAAAGTGAATGATGTCCTCTCTCACCCGCTCCCCATGTTCTGTTTTACATGGAAGTACATTATCACAAGCATATGTCTACCTGTGCACATACCCTTGAAATGGAACCCCTGTGTGTGCTTTCATGTAAATATTTAGGCTGAACGGGTTACACACAAGAATGCACTGCTTACAATCACTTGACTTAAACTGTCATAAATCCCCACATATTTGTTTGTAGAACGTTAAACTGCACTTGGTGATGTGAGGTAAAACAAAGGCAACGTTTATTTGGTGTCATGTAGTGCTTATGTAGACCTGAAGAAGGGCTTACTTACTACTTGTAGACTCAAAAGGTACAATTGTTGTGAGTGCCTAACACCCAGAGGAATTGGCTTAGTTTTTAAATTAGTAATTTGTCCCAAATTGTGACAAGGTCAATCAGTCATGTTATCACCAATGGCTTATACAGTCATCTATCTCCTATCACACATGTACACATTGTTAAACCTTGTTGGTGTCTCAATTATGTTTGGTCACCTTTTGTCCTCTTATTTTTTGTCTATTATTCTCACACACACTTTGTAATCTACCGGTATGTGTAATTACTTTGGATTTTGTCTGCTACCACATCTACTATTTTAATAATAATGAATGCGCATTGGTACAAGTATATTGCCCAAGTTTTATGTTTACTTACCCAACAGTGAGTGAAGGTGGGATTGAGTGACTCCCCTACACACACACATGCTGTATCTTTGTCATACACCCGTAGATCGCACCACCTCTTACATGCACGTACAAGTGAACTATTGTATGTTTGTCCTGTCTTTTTGCCTCGAACACACCTACAGATACTAAAGGTGATCTTCCTCCACAGGTCACGGAGCTGACGTGAAGTGTGTGGACTGGCACCCCACTAAAGGCTTGGTGGTTTCTGGGAGCAAAGATAGCCAGCAGCCAATAAAATTCTGGGATCCCAAGACCGGACAGAGTTTGGCCACACTGTGAGTTTTACCCAAAGGCAGCGGAAGTGGCATAAAGCACCTCATCCCCAAAACCCAGAGCCCCCTGAGAAATGATCTAACAAAATGTGGTACTTCTCGCTAACAATTTGTGCTTTCTTGTTAAAATTATGTTGTTACCATGTAGTTTCTCAGTAGATGACAGATGGTAAGGGAAGCTGTAAAATAGTTCCATCCTTTTTAAAATGCTTGAGGCAACTTGGAGGACAGAAAATAACTTATACCCTTTTTACACTACTGTGCCAAGCTGAACCGTACTGTGCTGGCTCGGATATTCGTCCTTTCCACACGGTTCCGGCAGCAACTGGATGCACAACCATGCCAGCACAGTACAGCTTGGCTCAGCTTGGCTCTGCTTAGTAGTGTGTAAAAGGTATCAGTCCCTTACTGTCTCTCTCTCCCCATCTTTCCCCCTCCCTCTCCGTCAGTCATGCCCATAAGAACACGGTGATGGAGGTGAAGTGGAACCTGAACGGTAACTGGCTGCTGACAGCGTCCCGCGACCACCTGTGTAAACTCTTTGACATCCGCAACCTCAAGGAGGAGCTGCAGGTGTTCCGGGGCCACAAAAAAGAGGCCACAGGTATGCTTTGGCTTGACTTACTTGACTTGGCCTATTCCATTTAGCACTTAGTTCAGCAAATGGCCTCTGCTGTAGCTAGACTGTTAGAATGTTATGATGCCAAATGTTGCTTGGTTTATTTACACTGTGTATGCATGTGCGTGTATGTGGTTGAAGATCATGTGTGTTGCTATTGATTGTTTCTGCTGTGTGCTGCTCTGTCAAGGGTGTGAATACGTTCTCTATCGTTTTTACTGGTGTGCAGGGGAAACTCCTTGAGTTGACAGACCACTTTTAATTTTTGTGGTGATCCTGAGTTTGAGACATTAAAATGTGTGTTAACCCTTTGTCTCCTGTCTCCAGCTGTAGCTTGGCACCCTGTCCACGAGGGCCTGTTCGCCAGCGGAGGCTCGGACGGATCCCTCCTCTTCTGGAACGTAGGGTAAGAGTGACAGCTCAACCTTCCAATCGACACACAGGATCTCATTTCCTCTACCAATCACTGGCCAAAGGCTTGATTCCTTTGCCTGACTGTCATTTCAATGAGCAAAGTAAAACATTTATGATAGCAAGCGTTAATCGTGTGTAAGAGGCAATGCTCATAAATGTAGTCTGGATACCTCTGAAAGTGAATAATTCCTACACAAAGCCTATATTCATGACATTATAGTTGTTACAAAGGACTGGGTTCATTACCAATTATGACTGTTTCATGTCACATCCCGCTCTTAACATGTATTCCTACTGTGCTTTCTGTCAGGGTGGAGAAGGAGGTGGGTGGTATGGAGATGGCCCATGAGGGCATGATCTGGAGCCTGGCGTGGCACCCACTCGGGCACATCCTCTGCTCGGGATCCAACGACCACACGAGGTAAGCTAACAAGTTACATACAGTGCATTCGGAAAGTATTCAGACCCCTTTGACTTTTTCCACATTTTGTTACGCTACAGCCTTATTCTAAAATGGATGAAATACAAAATGTTCCTCAATCTACACACAATACCCCATAATGACAAAGCGAAAACTGTTTTTTATAAATTTTTGCAAATGTATTACAAATAATAAACAGATACCTTATTTACATAAGGATTCAGACCCTTTGCTATGAGACTCGAAATTGAGCTCAGGTGCATCCTGTTTCCATTGATCATCCTTGAGATGTTTCTACAACTTGATTGGAGTCCACCTGTGGTAAATTCAATTGATTGGACATGATTTGCAAAGGCACACACCTGTCTATATAAGGTCCCACAGTTGACAGTGCATGTCAGACCAAAAACCAAGCCATGAGGTAGGATTTTGTCAAGACACAGATCTGGGGAAGGGTACCAAAAAATGTCTGCAGCATTGAAGGTCCCCAAGAACACAGTGGCCTCCATCATTTTTAAATGGAAGAAGTTTGGAACCACGAAGACTCTTCTTAGAGCTGGCCACCCGGCCAAACTGAGCAATCGGGGGAGAAGGGCCTTGGTCAGTGAGATGACCAAGAACCCGATGGTCACTGACAGAGCTCCAGTTCCTCTGTGGCAATGGGAGAACCTTCCAGAAGGACAACCATCTCTGCAGCACTCCACCAATCAGGCCTTTATGGTAGAGTGGCAAGACAGAAGCCACTCCTCAGCTTGTAGTGTCATACCCAAGAAGACTCTAGGCTGTAATCACTGCCAAAGGTGCTTCAACAAAGTACTGAGTAAAGGGTCTGAATACTTATGTGAAAGTGATATTTTTAAAAATGTGTTTTTGGTTTGTCATTATGGAGTATTGTGTGTAGATTGAGGGGGAAAAAACTGTGTAATTAATTTTAGAATAAGGCTGTAACGTAACAAAATGTGGAAAATGTCAAGGGGTCTGAATACTTTCCAAATGCACTGTATACAGAAGACATAGAGAATCACAACAAGAGACGTGCAGTAACTCTACACCCATACCAGAATATATAATGAACAAAAATATAAACGCAACATGCAACAATTTCAAAGATTTTACTGAGTTAGTTCATATAAGGAAATCAGTCAATTGAAATAAATAAATTAGGCCCTAATCTATGGATTTCACATGACTGGGAATACAGATATGCATCTGTTGGTCACAGATACCTTTTTTTTTTTTAAGTACGGGCGTGGATCAGAAATCCAGTCAGAATCTGGTGTAACCATGATTTGCCTCATGAGGTGCGACACATCGCCCTGGCATATAGTTGATCAGGCTGTTGATTGTGGTCTGTGGAACGTTGTCCCACCACTTCAATGGCTGTGCGAAGTTGCTGGATATTAGCGAGAACTGGAAGACACTGTCGTACACGTCGATCCAGAGCATCCCAAACATGCTCAATGGGTGACATGTCTGGTGAGTATGCAAGCCGTGGAAGAACTAGGAAATGTTTAGCTTCTAGGAATTGTGTACAGATCCTTGCATTATGGGGCCGCGCATTATCTTGCTGAAAAATTAGGTGATGCCGGCAAATGAATGGCACAACAATGGGCCTCAGGATCTCGTCACGGTATCTCTGTGCATTCAAATTGCCATTGATAAAATGCAATTGTGTTTGTTGTCTGTAGCTTATGTCTGCCCATACCATAACCCCACCGCTACCACTTTGTTCACAACGTTGACATCCGCAAACCACTCGCCCACACGATGCCATACACGTCGTCTGCGGTTGTGAGGCTGGTTGGACGTACTTCCAAATTCTCAAAACGACGTTGGAGGCGGCTTATGGTAGAGAAATTAACATTCAATTCTCTGGCAACAGCTCCGGTGGACATTCCTGCAGTCAGCAGGTCAATTGCACGCTCCCTCAACTTGTTGTGTGACAAAACTGCACGTTTTAGTGGCCTTTTATTGTCCCCAGCACAAGGTGCACCTGTCTAATGATCATGCTGTTTAATCAGTTTCTTGATATGCCACACCTGTCAGGTGGATGGATTATCTTTGCTAAGGAGAAATGCTCACTAACAGATGTAAACATTTGAACACAACATTTTAGAGAAAAATGGTTTTTGTGCGTATAGAAAAATTCTGGGATTTTTTATTTCAGCTCATGAAACATGTGACCAACACTTATGTTGCGTTTATATTTTTGTTCAGTGTAGACAGGGAAGCAAGACTAAGGTTGAAGATAGGGGTGTAACGGAATCCGGTTCAAAGGTACGAGCACATCGGTCCGTGGGACTCTAAACCGATCCTAGCATGTATCAGTCAGAAAACCAATTATAACTTTACGAACAACTGGTTCACTAAAGTTTTTTACTCGCATAACTTTCTTTTTACCTTCCGAAAATTCTTCTAATATTTTCTGACTGAACTGGGGCGTCCTCTCCTATGTGTAACTGCGTGTGTAACTGTGTATGACAGTAATTGATCTACAAGTCATCTTGCATGCCGAGCCACCCCAATACCTGTCATTAGCCTTTTGTAACATTTCTACGCACGGTGCACAGCTTCCCGCGCTGTCCAACAAGAGGTAGGCCTTAATGCTGAATGGGAAAACTAATGTCTAAATGCAACAAATGTTAGTGCATCGAATTGCACCGAATAATTTTCAACTAAAACGTATCTTTCCTGTATCATGTCAGAGACAACATGGCTCTTGAATAGTCTTGAAAAGGGAAGATGCACACCCCTGTTGATAGACCTTCCTCCCGTATTTCTATTGTCCCATGGTTTGCTAATGACTGTTGGTAGGTTTTGGGTTTGACGTCCTCGTTGGCCGTATACTGAATGTGTCGCGAGGGTGGCAGATAGCCAAGGCTTAGAGTGTGGGGGCCATTAACCGAAAGGTCTCTAGTTCGAATCCACGAGCCAACCAGGTGAAAAATCTTTCTGTGCCCTTGAGCAAGTCACTTAATCCTAATTGCTCCAGGGTCGCCGTTGATAATGGCAGACGCTGCCCATGACCCCACTCTCAAAGGGTGTCTCAGGGGAGTCCTATTTCCAACTGTATAAACCGTTGGAAATAGGACAAACATTAAGCACCCACATTATTATTAATTATTATTATTTCGGATGTGTCTGTTCCGATGTGCTTTGAAGTGTTCCCTGCATGATTTCTATCCCCATTCATCCCTTTCTCAGTAAATTCTGGACGAGGAATCGGCCAGGGGACAAGATGAGGGACAGATACAATCTGAATTTGTTACCTGGGATGTCAGAGGATGGAGTGGAATACGGTATGATATGTAGGAATATTGTGTGTGAGGTGTAAGTATGTACACTGTGTGTGTTTTTGAATTTGTCTGTGTATAGGGCTCCACAGTGGAGGTGTCATAATACCCAGAAAACCTAGCGGTCAAACAGGGAAATGGTTCCAATCATTTTTCCACAATTCATTTTTCCTGTAGGGAATTTTAGAAACACTTAAAATAACAAGAACCTATATCGCCAGGCACTCCTTTTTGGAATAAGCCCACCTTATCTCCAGTGTTTAATGACCAGACCTTTAAGTCTTGGCTCCAAAGTGGCATCATGAATTTTGAACGTGTACTATGATGGATCTCTACTGTCATTAAATCAATTACAAGAAAGATTTGGATTATCCAAGGCCGATTTTTAAGTTCTTACAACTCAGAAATCTTATTTAATCGCTTCAACAGAATCTGGATGAACCAAAGGCATCTAGCATAGAAACAATACTGAAAGAAGCTGCTACACCAAAGAAGTTGATTGCCAAGATATCAAGGGTTGATTGAAACTCTACCTGATTGTTCAGAACCTAATAAGGGGAAAATGGGAAACTGAGAGGAACCATTGGTTCACAGATATGTGAAAATGCTCATACCTGCTACTACAACCTAAGACATAAACTACTGCAATTTTAAGATAATTCATAGGACATTGCATGCACTCCTGCCAGAATGCATGTAATGCACCCAGAAATGTAATCTCTGTTGGAGATGCAAAAAGCACAAAGGAACTATATTGCATGGTCTTGTGATAGACGGACACCATTTTGGGATAATGTACAGGTTGTGCTATAATTTCATTGTGTCTAGGAATTTATATCCATCCATCTCCATGATTATGTCTGTTGGGAAATGTAAATATTGGTGAACAATATCAGAGAAAGTTTTGTAATCTAGGTCTAATTGCTGCAAATAAAATGTATAGCCATCAGTTGAAAAGCCTTATATTCACCCTCAATAACAAACTGGAGGACTGAACTATCTACTTAAACAAAAGTTAAACAAAAAAACAGAAATATTTGACAGAATTTGGAAAACATATGTTGATCACCTTAAAGAAGGTTTTGTATAGTGGGCGTTTTGTTTTTGTGTTTGTGAGGTCCTGTAGAAGAAAAAAAAAAGTTTGAATTGCAGCCAGACATGTTTGTCTGGTCAAGGTTACATGGTGTCACCATTTGACTTGTGTTTCTGGGTCTGTTTGTTTTCCAGATGATATGGAGCCAAACAGCCTGGCTGCCATTCCTGGCATGGGGATCCCCGATCAGCTCAAAGCTGCCATGGAACAAGAGGCAAACGGTGAGGACACACACGTTCGCACTTCTCAAACAAATCTTATCTAAGTCACAGAGAGGGGTTACGTTTTAGTTTTGTAGTTGAATTAGCTCTAACAAAGTTGCAGCAATTGGCTGTGACTTCCACGGTCTATGCAGTTCCAGTAAGGTTGGAGTGGTAGATTGGTGGACTATGGGTAACGTAGTTTGATTTTCTCAAGATAAAGAGACTACACCTGAGGAGGAGATGAGCATCCCAGGTCTGGATTGGGGGATTGAGGAGATTTTACAGAAAGACCAGAAGAAAGTGCCACAGAAGAAGGTCCCCTATGCCAAACCCATCCCTGCCCAATTCCAACAGGTAACTTAGTCTTGATTCAGTTTTGTTTACATTAATGTTGACATCAAGAAAAAGAAGCAAGACATGGGTCTGTTGTGAGTAAATTAGTATTTGCTCTGTGACATCTGTCACTCTTTCTCCCTTCCTTTGTCTCCTCCCCCCTTTCCTTCCTTCAGGCCTGGGCAGATAATAAGGTACCTCTCGTGCCACCGGGAGGAGAGAAGAAAGAAAGGATGGATGAGAAGAAAATGGATGGGAAGACCAACCCGATGATGCTAGAGGTGAGAGGTCAGAGGCAAAGTGCCCGCTTTGAAACAAAGAAATGCGTGACGAAAGTGTCAGTGACAAAAATGTGTAAAATGAAAGAGCGATTGCAAGAGAAATACATTTTAGGTCAATGGTCAACAAACCTAGCCCTGCAGTGCAGCTACAGTTGTTTGTTTCAGCTTAAAAGAATAATCTATCTACATTTGGGCCTTACCTTGAGTTGTGTCTGAAGGCCCATGGTGACAGAATCCACAATAATCTATTATTTACTTCAGGCTAGCATCGTCAGATTTCATGAATGGAAGCAGCCGAACCGATGTTAGCAAAGCTGCACTGCAAGCCGAAACTCCCTCAAAAACACTTCAAACTGAGTTCGGTAGTTAGAGGTAGAAGGGATTTTTTTTACGTGCATACTGCTGAATTAATCGCTGGAATTTGGTTACTCCGAAATAGAGCTAAGTCCTCACGTAGCCACAGAACAGAGCATCTGTATGCGTCTTCCAGTGATGACGCCGTCCCCCTGGAGCAGGCTTTTAGACCGGTATTGCTTTCCAGATGTGATCAAAACTGACTGGTAAACATAGGAAAAGCATAAAAAAATTAGAATTGTATTGCAAAAATAACAACATTCTCGTGGGGAAGAAAACATGGACAGGTTCTTGCGAGTTTCGACGCTACCAAACTTTGTTTGAGGACGTTCCAGCTCGGCTGTTTCCATTCATGAAATCTGACGAAAATAATAGATTGTTAGAAGTAAATAATAGATTATTATGGATTATTTCACCATGGGCCTTAAGACACAACTGAAGGGAAGTGTAATTTTACCCAAATATAGATTTAGCGTGAACTATCCCTTTAAATGATATGCTGAATCAGGTGTCTTATTGCTGGGATGGAACATATCTTATTTTCCCCCTAGCAAATGAAGATGGACCGTATGAATCAGATGGACGGGAACATGCCTCCCCCAGGAGGCCCACAAGGACCCATGCCACCTTTCCCTGGCCAGGGAGGACCCATGCCCCCACCTCCACAGGGCTTCCCCCAGTCCATGCCCCCTCAGCAGATGCCCCACAACATGGGGCCCCCCATGGGCCCTGGCGTCATGCAGGCTCCGTTCATGCGCCCGGGCCAGATGGGCCCCCCTCCAGGGTCCCAGCACCACCAGGGGCCTCCTCAGGGCATGATGGGTCCCCCGGACCTCCACGGGCCCCAGGGCATGCAGAGGCACCCCGGCCCCCACAGAAACATGGGCCCCCAGGGGCCTCATGGCATGCCTCCTGGACCCAGAGGGATGCAGGGGCCCCCCGGAAACATGCAGGGCCCCCCACCGGGAGGAATGATGGGGCCCCCTCCTCGAGGCCAGGGTCCTCCGCCTCAGGGGGGCATGATTCCCCCTCAGGGGAATATGATGGGCCCACAGGGACCCATCCAGGGCGGAGTAGGGATGGGGCCTCCCATGCAGAACCCTCCCAGGACACACGGCAACATGCCAGGCATGGGGGGCATGCACGGGATGGGCAACATGCAGGGGCCACCTCCGGGTGGGATGCACGGGCCCCCACCGGGTAACATGCAAGGACCACCCGGCAACATGCAGGGCCCCCCTGGAAACATGCAAGGGCCCCCCGGTAACATGCAAGGACCCCCAGGCAATATGCAGGGCCCACCAGGCAACATGCAGGGGCCTCCGTCCTACATGCAGCACCAGGTGAGATTGTCAAACTAGCTGTAAAACAAAATAAATGTGTTGAAAATATGAAGGTAGGCTCATTTCATAAGAATATGGCAAGAGCTTTGGTTGAATCTAAAGAGGTAAATGTTCATCTGGGTTGGGTAGTTCAGTGGCGGTAATTGTAGCAACATTGTATTGTTGGTTAGCCAACTTGCTAGCTACATTGAGTTCAAATTCAATACTTAAGCAGTAGGGCTGTTTGTGTGCAACATGAGATGATGCAAAATGGTTCAATTCAATGCTTGTTGAAACGCACCCATTTGTGTTGTTTACAAAAAGTCTCAAATCCTAAAAACAACATTTCTCACAGGTGGGCCAAAACACTGGCCCCATGATGCATGCGATGGGACAGCAAGGACCCAATGGCAAAGGTAGGAGAACACAAATTCTCATAAGTAAGATAAAATCTTAAGTTTATTGGTCGCTTACACAGATTTGCAGATGTTATCGCAGTTGCAGTGAAATGCTTGTGTTTCTATCTCCAACAGTGCAGTAATAACTAGCAATAAACTATATGCACATAATCAACAAAATAAAAATCTGAAATTAAGCAATATCAGAACGAGCAATGTCCGAGACCTGAATATAAATACACTACATGGCCAAAAGTATTTGGTCAACCCTTCAAATTAAAGGTTTCGGTTATTTCAGCCACACCCGTTGCTGACAGTTTTATAAAATCGAGCACACAGCCATGCAATATCCATAGGCAAACATTGGCAGTAGAATGGCCTTACTGAAGAGCTCAGTGACATTCAACGTGGCAGCGTCATAGGATGCCACCTTTCCAACAAGTCAGTTTGTCAAATTTCTGCCCTGCTAGAGCTGCCCCGGTCAACTGTAAGTGCTGTTATTGTGAAGTGGAAACGTCTAGGAGCAACAGCGGCTCAGCCGTGAAGTGGTAGGTCACACAAGCTCACAGAACGGGTACTCCGAGTGCTGTAGCGCGTAAAGATCGTCTCTCCTTAGTTGCAACACTCACTACCGAGTTCCAAACTGCCTCTGGAAGCAACATCAGCACAAGAACTGTTCTTCGGGAGCTTCATGAAATGGGTTTCCATGGCCGAGCAGCCGCACACAAGCCTAAGATCACGATGCGCAATGCCAAGCGTCAGCTGGAGTGATGTAAAGTTTGCTGCCATTGTACTCTGGAGCAGTGGAAATGTGTGTGATGAATCAGGGATGAATCACGCTTCACCATCTGGCAGTCCAACGGACGAATCTGGTAATAAAGCTGATTGTGTTGAAACTGTCGCTATAATAAAACTGGCTCTCATGAGGACCGCCACAGGAATGGAAGACCCAGAGTTACCTCTGCTGCAGAGGATAAGTTCATTAGAGCCACCAGCCTCAGAAATTGCAGCCAAAAGAAATGCATCACAGAGATCAAGTAACAGACACATCTCAACATCAACTGTTCAGAGGATACTGTGTGAATTGCTGCAAAGAAACCACTACTAAAGGACACCAATAATAAGAAGAGACCTGCTTGGGCCAAGAAACACAAGCAATGGACATTAGACCGGTGGAAATGTGTCCTATTGTCTGGAGTCCAAATTGGAGATTTTTGGTTCCAACCGCCGTGTCTTTGTGAGATGCGGTGTGGGTGAACGGATGATATCCGGAATGTAGTTCCCACCGTAAAGCATGGAGGAGGAGGTGTTATGGTGTGGGGGCGCTTTGCTGGTGACACTTGTCTGTGATTTATTTAGAATTCAAGGCACACTTAACCAGCATGGCTACCACAGCATTCTGCAGCAATACGCCATCCCATCTGGTTTGGGATTAGTGGGACTATCATTTGTTTTTCAACAGGACAATGACCCAACACACCTCCAGGCTGTGTAAGGGCTATTTTACCAAGAAGGAGAGTGATGGAGTGCTGCATCATCAGATGACCTGGCCTCCACAATCCCCCGACCTCAACCAAATTGAGATGGTTTGGGATGAGTCAGACCGCAGAGTGAAGGAAAAGAAGACAAGTGCTCAGCATATGTGGGAACTCCTTCAAGACTGTTGGAAAAGCATTCCAGGTGAAGCTGGTTGAGAGAATGCCAAGAGTGTGCAAAGCTGTCATCAAGGCAAAGGGTGGCTATTTGAAGAATCTCAAATATAAAATATTTTTTGATTTGTTTAACACATTTTTGGTTACTACATGATTCAATATGTGTTGTTTCATAGTTTTAATGTCTTCACTATTATTCTACAATGTAGAAAATAGTAAAAATAAAGAAAAACCCTTGAATGAGTAGGTGTGTCCAAACTTTTGACTGGTACTGTACGTACGTACGTACATACAGTGCATTCGGAAAGTATTCAGACCCCTTCCCTTTTTCCACATTTTTTTACATTACAGCCTTATTCTAAAATTGATTAAATTAATGTATTTCCTCATCAATCTACACACACTACCCCATAATGACAAAGCGAAAACAGGTTTTTAGAAATGTTTGCAAATCCATTAAAAATAAAAAGTATAGAGATCCTTGATGAAAACCTGCTTCAGAGCGCTCAAGACATCAGACTGGGGCAGAAGTTGACCTTCCAACAGGACAACAACCCTAAGCACACAGCCAAGACAAAGTAGGAGTGGCTTCGGGACAAGTCTCTGAATGTCCTTGAGTGGCCCAGCCAGAGCCCGGACTTGAACCCGATCAAAGATCTCTGGAGAGACCTGAACATAGCTGTGCAGCGACGCTCTCCATCCAACCAGACAGAGCTTGAGAGAAGAATGGAAGAAACTCCCCAAATATAGTTGTGCCAAGCTTGTAGTGTCATGCCAAAGAAGACTTGAGGCTGTAATCGCTGCCAAAGGTGCTTCAATAAGTACTGAGTTAAAGGGTCTGAATACTTACAGTGCATTCAGAAAGTATTCAGACGTTCCCCTTTTCCACATTTTGTTACGTTACAACCTTATTCTAAAATGTATAACAAATATTATAAAAACTCAGCAATTTACCCATAATGACAATACAGAAATACCTTTATTTACAAGTATTCAGACCCTTTGCTATGAGACTAGAAATTGAGCTCAGGTGCATCCTGTTTCCATTGATCATCCTTGAGATGTTTATACAACTTGATTGGAGTCCACCTGTGGTAAATTCAATTGATAGGCTATGATTTGGAAAGGCACACACCTGTCTATACAAGGTCCCACAATTGACAGTGCATGTTAGAGCAAAAACCAAGCCATGAAGTCGAATGAAATGTCCGTAGAGCTCAGAGACAGCATTTTGTCGAGGCACAGATTTGGGGAAGGGTACCAAAATTAACATTACATTTTCTGCCAACCGCTCTGGTGGACATTCCTGCAGTCAGCATACCAATTGCGTGATCCCTCAAAACTTGAGTCATCTGTGGCATTGTGTTGTGTGACAAAACTGTTGCATTTTAGAGTGGCCTTTTGTTGTCCCCAGCACAAGGTGCACCTGTTTTAATGATCATGCTGTTTAATCAGTTATTGATACGCCACACCTGTCAAAGGAGAAATGCTCACTAACCGGGATGTAAACAAATTGGTACACAACATTTGAGAGAAATAAGCTTTTTGTGCGTATGGAACATTTCTGGGATCTTTTTATGTCAGCTCATAAAACATGGGACCAACACTTTACATTTACATGCGTTTCTAGTTTTGTTCAGTGTATATACATATAATGGTGTGTAAAGACAGTATATGAATAGAAAAGGTGTGTACAGCAGTAGTTATATAGGATGAGCCATGACTAGAATACAGTATATACATATAAAGTGGGTAAAACAGTATATAAACATAATAAACTAAAGTGACCAGGGAAGATGACTTTTCAAACACATACTGTAGTACGGAATACAGTTGATACCTACTGGCATAAACACTTGGGGCCGGTTTCCCAGACACAGATTAAGCCTAGTCCTGGACTAAAAAGCATTCTCAATGGCGATTCTCAATTGAAAGTGCTTTTATGTTTTGTCTGACTGTTTTCTCTCTGAATTCTCCCAAGGAGATACCCGAGGGCCTCCCAATCACCACATGGGTCCTCCACCTGGGGGACAGGGCGGCCCTGGGGGCCCTGACCAGGGCTCTGGTTCTTACTGGGGAGACTCTCAGCAGGGGCGCCGATCCTCCGACTTCAATGAAGGTGGCCAGGACTTCCACGGACGGGGAGAGGAGAGCTGGAGGAGAGGGTCCAGCCAGGACTACCAGGGAGGCCACAGAGGAGGAGGGGGAGGGCAAGGGGGAGGAGGGGGGAATGGGGGAAACTGGGGCTCTTCTGAGGAAAGATTCCCCCGCGATGGGGGAGAGTTCCGAGGCCGAAGGGATGACCGGTGAGCTTACCTTGCTTTTCGGTTGTGACCTTTTAACCTCACGTCTGTCTTTACTTGTGTCCGTGCCGCCAACTCTACCGGCTCTCTAACCTGCATCTTTGTACAGTGTTTACCTGTACCTCTACACCTTAAACCATACAGTGTTTACCTGTACCTCTACACCTTAAACCATACAGTGTTTACCTGTACCTCTACACCTTAAACCATACAGTGTTTACCTGTACTACATCCTACTTTACTTACCTCTAACCTACCATACAGTGTTTACCTGTACCTCTACACCTTAAACCATACAGTGTTTACCTGTACCTCTACACCTTAAACCATACAGTGTTTACCTGTACCTCTACACCTTAAACCATACAGTGTTTACCTGTACCTCTACACCTTAAACCATACAGTGTTTACCTGTACCTCTACACCTTAAACCATACAGTGTTTACCTGTACCTCTACACCTTAAATCTCACCTACTTTTTCATCATTCTCATCTTAACCGCAACCTTCGTCTTTCAAACCTACCTTTGCTCTGACCCTTAACTTACTATATTAGTGGCTCTATGGGTTGCTTCCGTCTCGGTTTGCTCAAACTCTGGGCTTATATGCGTGTGTGCATGTCAGGTTTGTTGGTTATGGGGGTCCAGGAGAGGAGTTTGACCAGAGGCAGAGAGACCGACTGCCTCCACCGAGGCATGGCCAGGACTCAGACGACACGTGGGTCTAACTATTAACTTGCCTACTAACTCACTGACTAAATGTCCTACTATCTCGCCGACTAACGTTCCTACCAACTCGCCACCTAGCTTTTCTACTAACTCACAAACTGTCCTAACTGGCAACCTAGCCTTCCTACAAACCCATCTACTAACCTGCAGACCAACTTTCCTACTAACTACATACTGTCAAAATACACTGTAAAAACTAGAACACAGACATTATGCATACCAAGGCCAGGATTCAATCCAAGTCACGTTATAGAGCAGCGCATTATAACAGACTTTAAAAGGACATTTACGCTTGAGCCGACATGTGCATAGTTCACCCTGAATGCGATCTCCGCGAACGTCTGGGAAAATGAATTTAAAAGGTGCATTGTCGGCTGTCTAGTGCACTGCTCTTTAACGCATCTTGGCTTGCCCAAGTTATCTTCATAGTGGATGTTTCCTCTAATAACAGCAGCTGAGGTTGTGTTTTGTATCATGTATTTTGACTAGCAGTTGCAGTATCACGCATCACACTGCTGAGTGTAAGCACAATCATATGTGATTTGTTTTATAGCCTTTACTTAGTGTCCTAAGGTGTGAACCTCTCTTTTTTGAAATAAAGGGTCTAGCATGGACAGTGGGACATGGATGTTTCAACTGGCCTGCTGTATCTCCACTTAAACTGTGTCCCTTTTCTGTGCAGGTACAGAGGGGTTGGACAGGGTCGCCCTGGGGGGAGGGGGTTCCCTGATGAGTTTGGTGGGCAGGAGGAGAACTTTGACGCCTCAAATGAGATGGCCGGAGGTTGGGACAACGGAGGGAGGGGGAGACCCCCCCGAGGAGGGGGCCCACCCAGAGGAGGAGGTGAGACCAGCTGAGTTTGTTGTCCGTCCTTCTTTTATGATCTGTCTCTGTCCTTATCTAGTTCTCTCTCTACCTCTTTCTCGTCTGTCTGTATCTGTCCATCAATCTATGGGTGCTATCTTTCATTCATCCGTCGGTTGTTACCTCAGGAGGTGGTGGAGGTGGACGCCAGGGCTTGCTCCCCACCCCTGATGAGTTCCCCCCACACTATGAGGGAGGCAGAAGTCAGGAGGCCTGGGAGGGCGGGCAAGATCAAGGTAAAGGGGCTGTCTTATCAAACCAGGGTAGCGTGGCAGGCCAACAGCTCCCAACTCTAGCCATAAGGAAATAATAGCGTAGTAGGCTAACCCTTACAGAAGTCATGGCTAGCAGCCAGTCTCCCTCGTTAAAGTTAGTGAAAGGACTAATCAATGTATATGGCAGCCCCAGAGGATTTTTAGTGTGACACTACTAAGGAATTTATTTTTTAGGGGTTCATTTTGACAGCTCAGCGCCAGGTTATGAAATAAATGGTGCCACAAGTATTGTGAGGTAATAGTGTCAGTTTTATCCACATCTCCCCATTTTGACCCTGTTGGGCAATTACTCTGTGTTCATGTAATTGTGTGTGTGTGCTTCTGTACGTGTGTGCTCCTGTTTGTGCCTGTGTGCTCCCAGGTCACGAGGCTTACAGAGAAGGTCAGCGCTCAGAGCACGGCCCGCCGCACGACAGCCCGTCCCCTGCTAGCCGTGAGCGCTCCTCCTCCCTGCAAGGCATGGACATGGCCTCGCTGCCCCCACGCAAACGCCCGTGGCACGACGGCCCGGGTACCGGAGACCAAGACTCCCCGGGAGCAGGGGTAGAGGACAGGACAGCAGGTATACAGGGGAGAGGGGTTAGGGGTGGTATTTGTGTGTGTGACTAAGAGAACTGGAGGGCTTTGTGTGTGTGTGTGACAATGGCTGATGCTAAGGCTGTGAGTCATGTATCCATTACTTGTCATGTCATGGTGACTTTGAACTACTAGCCTATCCCCCACCATGTCTTCTTTATTTCCCTTACAGTGCATTCGGAAAGTATTCAGACCCCTTGACTTTTTCCACATTTTGTTACGTTACAGCCTTATTCTAAAATTGATTAAATCAAAAAAATCGACACACAGTACCCGATAATGACAAAGCGAAAAGAGGTCTTTAGAAATGTTTGAAAATTTTTTTTACATAAGTATTTAGACCCTTTGCTATGAGACTTGAAATTGAGCTCCGGTGCATCCTGTTTCCATTGATCATTCTTGAGATGTTTCAACAACTTCATTGGGATTCCACTTGTGGTAATTGATTGGACATGATTTGGAAAAGCACACACCTGTCTATATAAGGTCCCACAGTTGACAGTGCATGTCATAGCAAAAACCAAGCCATGAGGTCGAAGGAGTTGTCGATAGAGCTCTGAGACAGCATTGTGTCGAGGCACAGATCTGGGGAAGGGTACCAAAACATTTCTGCAGCATTGAAGGTCCCAAAGAACACAGTGGCCTCCATCATTCTTAAATGGAAGAAGTTTGGGACCACCAAGACTCTTCCTAGAGCTGGCCGCCCGGCCAAACTGAGAAATTGTAACTATTTTGCACTTTGGCCTATTTATTGCCTTACCTCCATAACTTACTACATTCGCACACACTGTATATATATTTTCTGTTTGTATTTTTGACTTAATGTTTTGTTTACCCCATATGTAACTCTGTGTTGTTTTTATCGCACTGCTTTGCTTTATCTTGGCCAGGTCGCAGTTGTAAATGAGAACTTGTTCTCAACTGGCTTACCTGGTTAAATAAAGGTGAAATAAAATAAAAAATAAAATTGGGGGAGAAGGGCCTTGGTCAGGAGGTGACCAAGAACCCGATGGTGACTCTGACAGAGCTCCAGAGTTCCTCTGTGGAGATGGGAGAACCTTCCAGAAGGACAACCATCTCTGCAGCACGCCACCAATCAGGCCTTTATGGTAGTGGCCAGACGCAAGCCACTCCTCAGTAAAAGGCACATGACAGCCCGCTTGGAGTTTGCCAAAAGGCACCTAAAGGACTCTGACCATGAGAAACCATATTCTCTGGTCTGATGAAACCAAGATTGAACTCTTTAGCCTGAATGCCAATCGTCACGTCTGGAGGAAACCTGGCACCATCCCTACGGTGAAGGATGGTGGTGGAAGCATCATGCTGTGGGGATGTTTTTCAGCAGCAGGGACTGGTGACTAGTCAGGATCGAGGGGAAGATGAATGGTGCAAAGTACAGAGAGATCCTTGATGAAAACCTGCTCCAGTGCACTTAGAACCTCAGACTGGGGCGAAGGTTCACCTTCCAACAGGACAACAACACTAAGCACACAGCCAAGACAACGCAGGAGTGGCTTCGGGACAAGTCTCTGAATGTCCTTGAGTGGCCCAGCCAGAGCCCGGACTTGAATCCGATCTAAAATCTCTGCAGAGACCTGAAAATAGCTGTGCAGCGACACTCCCCATCCAACCTGTCAGAGCTTGAGAGAATCTGCAGAGAAGAATGCGGAGAAACTCCCCAAATACAGGTGTGCCAAGCTTGTAGCCTCATACCCAAGAAGACTCAAAGCTGTAATCGCTGCCAAAGGTGCTTCAACAAAGTACTGATTAAAGTGTCTGAATATTTATGTAAATGTTATATTTCCGTTTTATAACATTTGCAAAAATTTCTAAAAACATATTTTTGCTTTGTCATTTTGGGGTATTGTGTGTAGATTGAGGTGGGGGGGAAAAAAATAATGTAATACATTTTAGAATAAGGCTGTAACGTAACAAAATGGGGAAAAAGGAAAGGGTTCTGAATACTTTCCGAACGCACTGTATTGAGATTTCTATAATCTGTCTTTGCATGTCATACTTTGTTGGTATTAGGGTGGAGGTTTTATGTCCTGATTTGAAATGGAACAGAGTCCAACCCCAGTCTCTTGTCCCTCTGCTGCTCTCTCCAGGCCGACCCCCCCAGAGAGAGGAAGGCGGCGGCTATGGGCCCTCGTCCCGCGGCGGGAGAGGGGGTTGGAGGGGGGCGCCCCGCGGGGCCCCCAGGGGAGGAGGGCGTGGCCGGTAGGACTGAAGGAACAACTCACTACCAAACCTACACTCTCTTTCCCCCAATCCCCTTCTCCCTGCTATTCACCCCCGCAAAGAGGACAGGGACCAAAAAGAGACACACAACCACTACCGCCACCTCCTGTCCCCCAGATCAGTGGATCATCTCTGGGCTCAGACTACACCTCTTCAGGCCTGTTTGTAAGGCTGGAGGATGGATTGTTTACTGTGTGTATAGGGGCCTCTGTGGAGTGGAAAAGGGCCTTTATTGCTGAATGTGTCAAGCCTCAGATCTCTCACTACAGGATGGACGAGTTGCTATCTTTACATTTGGATCCTTTAGATGACAGATTCCGCCCTATGGCTCTTTGCCACACTCATTCTGATTGGTCGCTGCAGGTGTTGTCTAGTGGCCTGATTTGGACACAGGATGGGTATGACAAGCTGAAGCAATCACTGGTTGGTCGATGTTTCTGTTCCAAGTTCAGACGTGGGCCACATAACAATGTTTTTTGTCAGTGTGGTTTGAACAGGCAAGAAACCTGGGGTTTATTCAGGAGGGTGCAAAGTTTAGAACATTGCTGACAGGCATTGATAGGATTCCTTATTCTGCATTAGAGAGAATTGTCTGTTCTCCTCAACATATTTCTGTCTGAACGTTTTGTAACGCTGCACCCTCCTGAATAAACCCCTGGACACACTTCATGTGATAATGTGAACGGCCCATAGTTTCTCTCTTCTACATGCACTGTACCAATCACACATAATAGAGAGGAGAGTCCAGGATCTTACGCAATTTGACACAACATTGAGCTTTGCAGATAGGAATACAATGCACAGATCAGACAACTCTTTTTCGTTTGTTTTGGGAAGAATAGAGAACCATGTCCCCTCTGTACATTACATTTATATCTGAAAATGTTCTGAGACTGTGGCGCCACACTGAATACGCCCACCATTTCAAGATTCATTATTCCAGGAGAGGATTTGGTCCTCGGCTATAAGCATGCATCCCAAATCCTGATTCCCTATATAGAGCACTACTTTTGACCATGGCCCATAGGGGTATGGTCAAAAGTAGTGTACTATATAGGCACTAGTGCACTATATAGGGAATATGGTGCCATTTGGGATGCACAAAGGCCTGTTTGTCACTGGTAGTTAACAAACAGAACAGGGCGTTGAATGTGTTATTCCCCCAAAGTCCTCGGCTCCATTTATTTAAATTCATTTTTAAATGTCCAATAATGGAGAGAAGAAGAATCACTGTCTCATTGCCGGGCTCCCCTGAATATCGAGGCGGCCTTCCTCTCTTTCTAAATGTACAGTTTGTCATGAGATTGTCATATTGCTTTTGTCCATTTTTTGTATGAGACTATAATAGAAATGTGTGCAAAATGTCGCCCTCGTTTCTGGTCTTTAATTCTTTGGGATCCTGTGCAATGACTGAGTGGGGGGGGGGGGGGGGGAAGTATGTACTTGTACACCCTTTGCCTGGTCCTAGACCTGTTTGTGCTGTCTTGCCAACCCCCTTGGTCATGTTTGGAGTGACAATGCCCATAGAAGTCAAGACATTACAAACACATCTGGGACCAGGCTAGTAGTAGGCAATGGCGTTCCGTAGACTTATGTTCAGCAGGTCACGTAGTGCCCATGTCATCACATTAACCCGTTAATTCACAGACACTGTTGCAATGACTCAAGCAAATTCCCAATCTAAAGGAAAGGCTATATTATATCAGAACCTAAGACCATACATAGCCTTTTCGGTTACTTTCAATAATGCGTCTTAACTTCCTCCTTTAGGTCATCACTTATCTGACATAGTAAGATAAAACCTCAAGGAAAGACGGGAAATATGCATTTGAAAGTAGCCAGACCAGACCTGCGTTGAATACAGACTTTCAAATAGCTTACCGTTTTAGAAATACTTTAAGTACCCTTGCCTGGCATGCAGAGTTGGTACTTTTGGTGCTATTCTATTGGTCCTGCACCAAGTATTTCATCCACACTAGGCCAATGTTCTATCCCTTGGTTCAGGACAGAAAATACATTCCATGATAAGGTTGTACCACAGTACATTTTATTAGTCAAAACATAAATAGAAAAAAATACATGAGGCTTCATAGTTCTCTGCTGGTCTGTTCCATTTTAGTCTTATTCTGAGATATTATTGGGCATGTTGGTACATCAGAAGTAAATGACAAAAGAAAACAAGGATTTAACACCGTTGTCAAGGGCCAGTCATTATGAATTTTTTGTTTTTCAAATTGGTCTGTGAATTGCTGAATGTTTTGCTAGTGTGCTCACAAGTCAGTCAGTCCTATTCACAACAGAGGGCAAAAATCCGTTCGGATTAATTGAAGTGGTTAAATTGGCATCGTTTTCCCCGTGACAGTCCTTTTGATAGCAGACATTGCCATCCCTCCCATTAATCGAATACCTGCGCTACCGCCCGGCAGCAAAGAGACTATGTACCCAACGATGACGGCAACCTGGACAATGGCTCCGAGGGCAGTGAGTATGGTGTTGTGAAGCCTGAGCGCTGCGTAAAGTGTACCTCCAAGAGAACACAGATACACCACCGCGCTGGGAGTCGGCCTCGCTATGAGCTTGATGGGTCCCCGCAGTATCGCTGCTCCCAGAATCGCGAAGAGAGAGCCGAGAGACCAGAGAAGGGCGAATTTGCGCGCATACAACAGCAACAAGGGTGCGTACAGGGCGGACAGTCCAAAGCACAACGCCGAAAATGCAATACACACTCCGAAAGCGACCAGTCGTTGCAAGCGACTCATTCCCGGTAAACATGGGTCTGGCTCCGTAGACCACGGCCAGGAATAGCCGCTGCCCAACCCTTGGCCCGTCGAACCTCCGCCGCGACTGCTGGAACCAGAGAACGGGCTCGACCAGCTTCCGAACCAGCTCCCAGCTACTGAGGTGGATTCATCGATATCTATGGTCGTACTTGAGCTGGACTGAGAGATCGTCATGGCACCGCCTTTAGACTGGGCCAGATATTCTTGAAGACTTCGATTTAATTCGGCCATAACTTCTCGTCAATATGTATGTCGACAAATTTCCTCTGTGCGACACTGAGTGTTCTGCCAGCAGCACAAATGATGACGTTACTTTCGTATGGTATTGACGAACCCTTCAATATTTACATTGTGGATAACTCATTAAAAAAATATTACATTTTAATCAGTCAAATTTTATTGTGCTTATAATCAAATGCAAAAAGGATTTTATAAAAACAATTAGAAATATGCTTCAAACAGGTATTCTTTAAGACCACAATCGAAAAATATAAAGTTCGGATTGGAACATTCACTATAGTAGTCCTAAAACCCGGAAATAAATTAGCTCTGGTTCGTTCAACCATCCCTATGTGGAAAGAATAGGGTTTCGGAATAAACACTGAAAATAATGTTTGAGCTTAACACAGGTTTATGATATCGTATACATTTTTTATATGAGATAATAGAAGTCAGTTAACATGACCTTTATGAATTATGAAGCCTTTGTGATTCGTTTTTATTTTTATTACATACGTTCTTCCAAATTCACAATAAGTGACATTAGCTGATGAAGATGATCTCATAGACAAAAATATCTCCTAAACCTGTGTTTACCACAGACCTTATTTTCTGTGTTTACACTTACAAAAACGCCATTCATTTTCCTTATAGGCTTTGTCCAGCGAACCATGGCAGAGTTACGCCGTGTGCACACATTTTGCGTCATCACGTTGCCGTACAGTACATTTACGCAATTGTCGCAATTCATGCCATGCTCAGGGTTGCCATGTGTGCAGTTTTCCTGTACCCGGGTACTTGAAAAAAGGATGTCCTGGGTGAAAATGTATTGGTCGCGAGTTGGGTTTTTGGCCTACATCTAAATTGCACCGCCATGGCAATTTCTTAAACATATCAACTACCAGTCAAAAGTTTAGACACACCTACTCATTCAAGGGTTTATCTTTCTTTTTACATTTTTTTATGATGTGGAATAATAGTAAAGACATCAAAACTATGAAATAACACATGGAATCACATAGTAACCCAAAAAGTGTTAAACAAATCAAAATATATTTTAGATTATTCAAATAGCCACCCTTTGCCTTGATTAAAATGTCTGTACTCACTAACTGTAAGTCGCTCTGGATAAGAGCGTCTGCTAAATGACTAAAATGTAAATGACAGCTATGCGCTCACTTGGCATTCTCTCAACCAGCTTCATGAGGTAGTCACCTGGAATGCATTTCAATTAACAGGTGTGCCTTCTTAAAAGTTAATTTGTGGAATGTATTTCCTTCTCAATGCGTTTGAGCCAATCCGTTGTGTTGTGACAAGGTAGACAAGGTAGAGGGGTTATACAGGCCCCGTGTAGCTCAGTTGGTAGAGCATGGCGCTTGCAACGCCAGGGTAGTGTGTTCGTTTCCCACGGGGGGCCAGTATGAAAAAAGTATGAAAATGTATGCACTCACTATCTGTAAGTCGCTCTGGATAAGAGCGTCTGCTAAATGACAAATGTAAATGTAAATAGCCCTATTTGGAAAAAGACCAAGTCCGTATTATGGCAAGAACAGCTCAAATAAGCAAAGAGAAACGACAGTCCATCATTACTTTAAGACATGAAGGTCAGTCAATACGGAACATTTCAAGAACTTTTGAAAGTTTCTTCAAGCGCAGTTGCAAAAACCATCAAGCGCTATGATGAAACTGGCTCTCATGAAGACCGCCACAGGAATGGAAGACCCAGAGTTACCTCTGCTGCAGAGGATAAGTTAATTAGAGTTAAATGCACCTCAGATTGCAGCCCAAATAAATGCTTCACAGAGTTCAAGTCACAGACACATCTCAACATCAACTGTTCAGAAGGGACTGTGTGAATCAGGCCTTCATGGTTAAATTGCTGTGTCTTTGTGAGACACGGTGTGGGTGAACGGATGATCTCTGCAGGTGTATTTCCCACCATAAAGCATGGAGGAGGAGGTGTTATGGTGTGGGGGTGCTTTGCTGGTGACACTGTCTGTGATTTATTTAGAATTCAAGGCACACTTAACCAGTATGGCTACCACAGCATTCTGCAGCGATACGCCATCCCATCTGGTTTGGGCTTAGTGGGACTATCATTTGTTTTTCAACAGAACAATGACCCAACACACCTCCAGGCTGTGTAAGGGCTATTTTACCAAGAAGGAGAGCGATGGAGTGCTGCATCAGATGACCTGGCCTCCACAATCCGCCGACCTCAACCCAATTGAGATGGTTTGGGATGAGTCGGACGGCAGAGTGAAGGAAAAGCAGCCAACAGGTGCTCAGCATTCCAGGTGAAGCTGGTTGAGAGAATGCCAAGAGTGTGCAAAGCTGTCATCAAGGCAAAGGGTGGCTATTTGAAGAATCTCACATCTCAAATATAATTTGCTTTGTTTAACACTTTTTTGGTCTTATTTCATAATCTTTATGTCTTCACTAAAATTAAGAAGTAGGTGTGTCCAAACTTTTGACTGGTACTGTGTGTGTGTATATATATATATATATATATATATATATATATATATATATATATATATATATATATATATACACATATACATATATATATATATACATACATACATACATACATACATACATACATACATACATACATACATATACACAGTGGGGAGAACAAGTATTTGATACACTGCCGATTTTGCAGGTTTTCCTACTTACAAAGCATGTAGAGGTCTGTAATTTTTATCATAGGTACACTTCAACTGTGAGAGACGGAATCTAAAACAAAAATCCAGAAAATCACATTGTATGATTTTTAAATAATTTGATTGCATGACATACGTATTTGATACATCAGAAAAGCAGAACTTAATATTTGGTACAGAAACCTTTGTTTGCAATTACAGAGATCATACGTTTCCTGTAGGTCTTGACCAGGTTTGCACACACTGCAGCAGGGATTTTGGCCCACTCCTCCATACAGACCTTCTCCAGATCCTTCAGGTTTCGGGGCTGTTGCTGGGCAATACGGACTTTCAGCTCCCTCCAAATATTTTCTATTGGGTTCAGGTCTGGAGACTGGCTAGGCCACTCCAGGACCTTGAGATGCTTCTTACGGAGCCACTCCTTAGTTGCCCTAGCTGTGTGTTTCGGGTCGTTGTCATGCTGGAAGACCCAGCCACGACCCATCTTCAATGCTCTTACTGAGGGAAGGAGGTTGTTGGCCAAGATCTCGCGATACATGGCCCCATCCATCCTCCCCTCAATACGGTGCAGTCGTCCTGTCCCCTTTGCAGAAAAGCATCCCCAAAGAATGATGTTTCCACCTCCATGCTTCACGGTTGGGATGGTGTTCTTGGGGTTGTACTCATCCTTCTTCTTCCTCCAAACACAGCGAGTGGAGTTTAGACCAAAAAGCTCTATTTTTGTCTCATCAGAACACATGACCTTCTCCCATTCCTCCTCTGGATCATCCAGATGGTCAATGGCAAACTTCAGGCGGGCCTGGACATGCGCTGGCTTGAGCAGGGGGACCTTGCGTGCGCTGCAGGATTTTAATCCATGATGGCGTAGTGTGTTACTAATGGTTTTCTTTGAGACTGTGGTCCCAGCTCTCTTCAGGTCATTGACCAGGTCCTGCCGTGTAGTTCTGGGCTGATCCCTCACCTTCCTCATGATCATTGATGCCCCACGAGGTGAGATTTTGCATGGAGCCCCAGACCGAGGGTGATTGACCGTCATCTTGAACTTCTTCCATTTTCTAATAATTGCGCCAACAGTTGTTGCCTTCTCACCAAGCTGCTTGCCTATTGTCCTGTAGCCCATCCCAGCCTTGTGCAGGTCTACAATTTTATCCCTGATGTCCTTACACAGCTCTCTGGTCTTGGCCATTGTGGAGAGGTTGGAGTCTGTTTGATTGAGTTTGAGTTTGAGTTTGAGTTTATTTTTACAGGGACAGTGCACATTAATCAAGGTTTCAGTAAAAGTGCCGGTTTTAGCCAGCCTGCTAATTTTCAACCGCAGTCCCTGGGCAGGTTATTAAAAACAATTACAATATAGACAATAACAACATAGAACAAGACATAGCATACAGACATAGCAACATAGGACAAGCAAGACGTAGCATACAGACCGAGCAACATAGAACAAAAAGCAGCAAGACAAAATTCATAAAAGCAACAAAGTGTTTCCACACCTCACAAGTTACAGACAACAGACATGGAAAGCGGCAACACACAGCTAGGGACCATGTTCACAAATCTGATTGACCTTTAGCCATGTCTTCAAGCATTTTGTGAAAGTGTGATATGTGGTGCAGTTGTGTGTGTCTGATGGCAGTGTATTCCAAACATGGGAAGCTCTCACAGAAAAAGCAGATTTACTAAAGGTGCTTTTCCTTAGGGGAACTACACAGTCACCTCTCATGGCAGACCTTGTGGATCTGCTGCCATATGTGTGGACAGGTGTCTTTTATACAGGTAACGCGTTCAAACAGGTGCAGTTAATACAGGTAATGAGTGGAGAACAGGAGGGCTTCTTAAAGAAAAACTAACAGGTCTGTGAGAGCCGGAATTCTTACTGCTTGGTAGGGGATCAAATACTTATGTCATGCAGTAAAATGCAAATTAATTACTTAAAAATCATACAATGTGATTTTCGGGATTTTTTAAATACAGACCTCTACATGCTTTGTAAGTAGGAAAACCTGCAAAATCGGCAGTGTATCAAATATTTGTTCTCCCCACTGTATATATTCTTAAATTCCATTCCTTACTAGATTTGTGTGTATTGGGTATATGTTGTGAAATTGTTAGATATTACTTGTTAGATATTACTGCACTGTCGGAGCTAGAAGCACAAGCATTTCGCTACACCCGCAATAACATCTGCTAAACACGTGTATGTGACAAATAAAATGTGATTTGATTTGATGTCACTGTCTCTCCTGGTAATTCCATCCATAACCTAAAATACATCTGCAAATGCCATTCATTCACTGATGGGACTTCTGTTAAACAGAAAGTGGAAAGTTTATGGTAAACTATTCACTGTCTTCAAATGTTATGTAGCCTAATAGTGTTTTTCTTTCGACTGTAGAAACTGGTGATAATTGAAATTATAGATATAAATCAAATTTGATTTATATAGGACATTGGTGTGTGTGTAGGTGGCTGGAAATGTGGGCGCACGTGACAAGGTTTTCAAGAGCTGTACCCCAGCTGCCGTGGAAGTCTAAAATTAAACTCTCTCTTCATTGGCCATCAGGCCCAAAGCCTATTTAAGGATGTGTGTTTGTGCTTGTGTACCTATGTGTGTTCCCCAACGAGGGTTCGCTTCTCGAGGCCAGAAAACTTCAAAACCTGAGCGACAGATCCAGACATACAGAGGCATACAGGGACCAGGTAAGCCACTAGACACACAAACGCGGGCGGCAGCTGCGACAAACATAGTCTTACAACACATTACACAACACATAGGCTCACTCCTATGAAACGTGACTGAGAATTACACAAGCTTTGCATACTGTGGCAAACATATTTAACTCTAAAACATTTAAACACACAGAGCTTTTACTTTATGCATATGACACCGTTGCGTCTACATATAAGCCTACCTTCTAAAATGTTCATGGTATTGAACCACAATGTCTTTCTAGTCACGCACATGATATGCTCATTTTACAGCGAGTAAAGGATTGTGAAAGTGTGTGGCAGCTTATGTCGATGTACCTGCAGTGTTGATGAATGGGTATTCATAGAATAATATAATGAGGCTTGGACAGATTGGTTCTTACTAACTTAACATCCACTTTGTTCAAAAGGTTGTCTTGGTACTACGTAAAAAATGTGTGTTGGACTCAACATTTTAGTAATGATGATATCTTACTAGGTTGTATTGATGTAAAGGAAGTGGTCACCAAGCCTGGTCCTAGAGAACAGGTTATGCTTTTGAAACAGCCAAAATACCGGATTCAACTAAAGGTCTTGATTATGTACTTAGCTCTATGGCTTTGGTTGCATTACGTATGCTAGTACTGAACTGGAACAAAAGCCTGCACTCCAAGACCAGGATTAGTGACTACAGCATATTATGGATCCCCCACTCAGGTCCTAAGAGGTAGTGTAAAGGTGTTGTTCCTCCCAGCACACACCTGTTTCAAATAATCAATAACCATTGTGTAAAATCATGGTCTGAACATTATTTTTGGTCTGGACCCAGATAAGCTGATGCAGGTGTTACCAAAGCTTGCACACCTGTAGCTCTCTATGATCGAATAGATCAGAGATCTCAGAGTATATTGTATTGGTAATGGTGTGTTTGTGTGTGTTCCCCTCGCAGGCAGCCATGTCAGTGTCTCAGATCACCCCCACCCTGTTCCTGAGTGGAGCAGACGCCCCCCTCAACCAGGCCCTGGTCTCCCGCAAGGGCATTACCCTCATCGTCAATGCCACCCTCAACCACGCCTGCCCTGTCTACCCAGGCGTGGAGTGCCTGCGTGTGCCCGTCTCCGATCTGCCCACCGCCCGTCTAGGCGACCACTTTGACCGTGTGGCAGAGCGTATCCACAGCAACCGGACGGGTGGTACGCTGGTGCATTGTGCGGCTGGCATGAGCCGCTCGCCGGCCCTGGTCATGGCATACCTAATGCGTTACCGGGGCGTGACTCTGTGCCGGGCCCACGCATGGGTGCAGGAGAGTCGGCCGTACGTGCGGCTCAACGCGGGTTTCTGGGCGCAGCTACTAGAGTTTGAGAAGAGGCTCTATGGGAAGAATACGGTTAAGGTGGCTGCGCCCATGCCGCCAGTGGAGCCGCCCCCATCGCCATGGACACTGCGGTCATCATGGACACAGCTGTTGCCCGGGTCACCGTTGTTGTCATCTTCGTCGCAGGCCAAGAGGTCAAAGAAGGGTAGGCTTGTAAGGAAATAGTAGGGAGGGAAAATTTCCTTCTCTGTCTGAAGATGTGAGGGAAGAACTTACAGCCCTACTGCCTGAGAATGTAAACCGAGGAAGCAGACTTGTCCCCTGCCTTGATGTGATGAGGGAAATATAGTACAATAATAATGTATGTATGTACACTGAACCTAAATATAAACGCAACATGCAACAATTTCTAAGATTTTACTGAGTTACAGTTCATATAAGGAAATCAGTCAATTGAAATCAATTCATTAGGCCCAATTTATGGTTTTCACGTCAGTATTTGGTGTGACCACGATTTGCCTCATGCATCGCGACACATGAGTTGATCAGGCTGTTGATTGTGGCCTGTTGAATGTTGTCCCACTCCTCTTCAATGGCTGTGTGAAGTTGCTGGATATTGGCGGGAACTGGAACACGCTGTCGTTCATGTCGATCCAGAGCATCCCAAAACTTGCTCAGTGGGTGACATGTCTGGTGAGTATGCAGGCCATGGAAGAACTGCGACATTTTCAGCTTCTAGAAATTGTGTACAGATCCTTGCAACATGGGGCTGTGCTTTATCATGCTGAAACACGACAATTGGCCTCAGGATCTCGTCACGGTATCTCTGTGCATTCAAATTGCCATCGATAAAATGCAATTGTGTTTGTTGTCCGTAGCTTATGCCTGCCAATACCATAACCCCACCGCCACCATGGGGCACTCTGTTCACAACGTTGACATCAGCAAACCACTCGCCCACACGAAGTCATACACGCTGTCTGCCATCTGCCTTGTACAGTTGAAACCAGGATTCATCCTGAGACAATTTCTGACAGTTTGTGCTTGGATGTCTAGTCTCAGACGATCCCTTAGGTGAAGAAGCAGGATGTGGAGGTCCTGGGCTGGCTTGGTTACTCGTAGTCTGCGGTTGTGAGGCCGGTTGGACGTACTGCCAAATTCTCTAAAACGAAATTTACATTAAATTATCTGGAAATGGCTCTGGTGGACATTCCTGCAGTCAGCATGCCAATTGCATTGTGTTGTGTGACAAAAGTGCACATTTTAAAGTGGCCTTTTATTGTCCCCAGCACAAGGTGTACCTGTGTAATGATCATGCTGTTTAATCAGCTTCTTGATATGCCACACCTGTCATGGGACCAACACTTTACATGTTGCATTTATATTTTTGTTCTGTGTATAAATATATATTTTTTATTAAGGATATTGGAATTCCAGATAGGAATGAGAGGGGGAGATAGTTGAGGTGAAAGACAGCACAGAACAAGGACATGGGATTTGAAGAGGCAATTTGTGGTCCAGAGTTGGCAGCAAGGAAGAATGTGGACAGCAAATCTTCTGCCTAAAGTAATGGGGGAATTGTTATGGCCATCTGTCTGCCTGTAAGGGGAGTTCAAGTTCATTTAAGTCATTAACATTCAACAATTGATCTTTGAATTGTGTGATGAATAAAAAATTATACTAGTAGAAAAACACAAACAACAATGCAACACACATTTAGGGAACTGTTGCGTGTGTTCACTGGTGTGGAATCTTGTTCCTATGAGTGTTCCTAGGTACTTACTGAAGTTTAAAACTGTATATGATGGTGGAGTAAGATCTTCTTCACATTCACATTATCTCAAGGATGTCCAGTAAGGACTAAGGCTTGTCCTACATGTTTTTTGAGTAGGCTTTCTTTTGTTGCATTTATGTAATTTGCAATGCACTGTTTTATTGCTGGATATGAACATCCAACCCTTTTAAAGTTAAAGCGTGTAAAATGTGTAGACGTACCCATGACATTATGTTTGACGTCATTATATTTCAAGAGGGCTTTTATGTACAGGCCTTTGTTCTTAATGTTTACAGCTCAACACCAGGCCCTTTCTGCAGTGGGGTGGTTTTGTAACTCAGGACCCATTATCAAACATGTTTTAGGGTGATTCTACGCCAGTGGGAGTGACAAATATTTTGGCTATCGCAGATTGTTCTGGTAATTATCACATAGAAACTTCATTAGGAGGAAGGATGTTTGAAATGTTTTGTAAATTTGAAAATCATGATGAAAGTGCCAATTTTATGCCCTTTGTAGACCTATACATGCCTCCTGTAAGACCTTATATACATGATCCAGACATCTTGGTGTCATTGTACTCCTTATATTGTAGTGTGCTCTAACATATAGAGTATGTCTAGATTCTGAAATACAATGTTCACATTAATGTATTCAACATAAAAAATATGAATATAAATATCTCAAAACAACCCTTTTTGATGTTGTTAATTTGTACACAACTTCCATAAATCCAATATCCTACCTAGCAGGTCTCACTGAGGGTGCTTTCACATATCTCTGTATGATCTGGATCCTGGAGCGTTTGGTACCCTGTTCTGCGCTATACAGCATATGTGAAACGTAAATTAATCCTGGCCCAAACGAATCCTGGACCCTGCCTGGGCTGTGGGTCCAAGATCCAGGACCAGGGTACCAGGTATTGCGACACAGCAACACCCTGTGCTGATGTTCACGTGTTGTGAAACTTTTAAAATACAGGTTACAACAGGTGCGATATATACAGGAGCGATATTCATTATTTTCTGTTGGTTATTAAACATTTGTTATCCAGTTAACGTTAGGTAGACATATGTTAACTAGCTGAATTAGCTAAAAATATATATAATAAGGACTCTCTGTGAAACCGAGACCTTACTGCAGATCTGGGGGAGAGTATCAAGGCGGAAATGGCAAAGACCCACAAAAATACGCCAAAAGGCTACTCAGGGAATCCAGAGCAGTGTACGACACATTTTTTTTATAACTACGCTCACAATACCTTTCAGTGAGGGATGCACTCAGGAAGTCGGGAAGCTCGGCAGATGAAAAGTACTAGTGTCAATATTTTTATATGATTGACACTATCATTGACAGTCCTGTGCCTGCTGCTGCAAGTTAAAGTCCAAACCAGACACTGAACAGTTCGTCATCTGAAATTGACGATTCCTTCCCCAGTGGTAAGTTGACAATAGGCTATGCAAAGCAATGGTACACTGTAAGTTAACGTGAGCTAGCCAGCAAAAAATAATAACAACGTTAGGCCAGGTAACATTAGCCTGTGATTAGTCCACTGATGATGCACACGGCCATTGCAGACAATATGTAGGCTATGCAAAGCAATGATACACTATAGTAATGATACACTGTAGCAATGGGAATGGTGCATAGCAATGATACACTGTAAGTTACCAGTAGCTAGCTAGTTAAATAATAACAGTAGGCCATGTAATGTTAGGCTAGCATGTGAATAGTCCCATTGATGATGCACAAGCATTGCTTACAATACATAGACCTTCTCTCTAACTAACTAGCTCAGTCACATTTCAGGAGAACAGCAAAAGGCAGCTTCAGCAGTGAAAATAAGATATTTCTTACTGTGTTTCAGCAGCTGGCAACACATTTGAATGTGTGGCAGGGGCCCCTGTCCTACCTCACCAAAGCTGTGTCCCAACAACATAAAGCAGGCCCAACAACACAGCGTGGTATCCCCCCACAACACCATTTGGAGCCTCAGATCTGAATCACCTTTACACCATTGAGAACAAGCCGTCAACATCCACCACGACCACATATTTACGTCATTTAGCAGACGCTCTTATCCAGAGCGACTTACATTATTTTTTTTCATACCCCCTGTGGGAATCAAACCCACAACCCTGGCGTTGCAAACGCCATACTCTATCAACTGAGCTACATCCCTGCCAGCCATTCCCTCCCCTACCCTGGACAACTGTGCGCCGCCCCATGGGTCTCCCAGTCGCGGCCGGCTACAACAGAGCCTGGATTCCAACCAGGATCTCTAGTGGCACAGCTAGCACTGCGATGCAGTGCCTTTGACCACTGCGCCACTCGGGAGACTATCATTGTCTGTAGCCATCCATTGCAGAACTTTTGTCTTATCTGATTTGATCAAATACATATAATTCGATCATAAATAATATATTATTTATTTGAAAAGATTTAACGAACATGAATTGATGAAAATATTTATTATATAACAATATTATGTTTATGTTACATAATAATAGCACGTTAATAATGTAATAGCCAACGATTGTCATCTTGAATAGATAAGGCCCCTGAAGCCTACTTTATGAACATGGATTACTTAAATACTACACTGAACAAAAATATAAATGCATAAATGGTCAGATGAGCTTCCCTGAGACGGTTTCTGACATTTTGTGCAGAAATACTTCGATTGTGCAAACCCACAGTTTCATCAGCTGTCCGGGTGGCTGGTCTCAGGTCATCCCGCAGGTGAAGAAGCCGCATGTGGAGGTCCTGGGCTGCCGTGGTTACACGTGGTCTGCGGTTGTGAGGCCGGTTGGACGTACTGCCAAATTCTCTAAAACGACGTTGGGGTCTGCTTACGGTAGAGAAATTATCTGGCAACAGCTCTAGTGGACATTCCTGGAGTCAGCATGCCAATTGCACGCTCCCTCAAAACTTGAGACATCTGTGGCATTGTGTTGTGTGACAAAAGTGCACATTTTAGAGTGGCCGTTATTGTCCCCAGCACAAGGTGCACCTGTGTAATGATCATGCTGTTTAATCAGCTTCTTGATATACCACACCTGTCAAGTGGATGGATTATCTTGGAAAAGGAGAAATGCTCACAGGGATGTAAATAAATTTGTGCACAACATTTGAGAGAAATAAGCTTTTTTGCGTATGGAAAATATCTGGCATATTTTGTTTCAGCTCATGAGACCAACACTTTACATGTTAGGTTTATATTTTTGTTCAGTATATGTTGTTTTTCTAACACAAAAAAAACAAGCCAATTAAATATTTTGTTCATTTAATTCAATTGATTATTTGCACAGCCTACACATTCTGTTTGATTGTTAAAATACAGGTTAATTGTAATGTACAATGTGAAATTCTATTTGACAATTTTGCTTGTCATAACTTAACAATAAACTTCAGCAACTGATGATCTTGTGAATGCTTTCCATGTTCTATTTTAAATCCTCTCAAATACTGCTCTTTTTCAGAATCCCAGTTGAATCCCAGTTGTCCTGAACGCACTGAAGTCGGAAGTCAAGATTTCGGAGTTCCGAGTTCCCAGTTGTTTTGAACACGGCATTACATTATCTATTCTTGGTTGCACCTACGTCACTCTGTCGCGTCACACCATTGTATT